TTCAGAAAACATACAAAACTGTTCCAGGACTGTTACGTCTTTTGATTCTGTTAATTATCACGCTTTATGATTCGCCAATCGCAAAATCTTAGCACTGTACAAAACCAATGACGCGTTGACCGGTACGAAAAGCTCAGAGTCCTTATTGGTCCTTCTCATAAAGCCTTACCTGTTGAGAGCAGAACACCAATATCAGCTCCGACTGTATGAATCATATATTTCAGACATTCTTGGTTGATATACAAGCAAACGAGACCACATCATACCATAAAATAGAAAATTACAATTATACAAGATCAAGCAAAAAAAGTGGCTGTGATTGCGAGAGACTGTAACTGGTAAATTGGGAATAACTTAAGAATAGTAAATCGTATAACAGTAGTCAAATGGAAGCTTATGACTAAAGGAATATAAATATATATAATCTAGTCACTCAGCAGTTACGCCATAAAAATATATATAATACAGTCCATAAATAGTTCCCCAAAGTTACCCATAACTTGATTTTCTTCAAATATAACTAGGACAAGTTGGGGTGTTGCACAATTGCAAAGGCGAAATCATACATATGACGAGGTGTGAGACCCGTTTTTTGTCCAAAACGCCGAGTCCTATTTTCTGCCATTGATAAAGTTGGTAGTGATTTAGACTGAATAAACAAGCTCAGTGGAATACAGCCGGATATTGTTCAACAGGAGCAGTTGTAGTAGTTTAGAACGCGAATTAAATTGATCGTCTTTGTGTGGACTTTTTGAGTGCTTTAAATGTTGTTTTACAAAATCATTCATATCCTCTACCCCTGGCAGAGAATTTGTCTGTTCTACAAAATGGTATGTTTTTTCGAAAATTAATTTATCTGAAGTTTACTTGCAAATGGGAGCTGATAGAGATTCAAGGAATTTTCTAACTATTAATACACAACGTGGACTCCATCACATTCACCGACTGACATTCGGTGTAAAACCAGAACCAGATATCTTCCGCAAATCATGAATGCTATAACATCGGATCTGGAATTAAAGCGGCTTATTTTGACGATATTAAAGTTGCTGGTTCAACTGAGGAGGATTTAATGAGTCAATTGGACCTATTACCTGCCAAAATATATCAAACTGGTTTCCAGTTACAAAAGAAAAAGCCTAAACTTCTACTTGGATCTGTTAAATACCTTGGATACATATTTGATGAAGATGGTCACCCACTAGGTCTAGGTAGTGAACATTCTACCAAAAAATATCCCCAGACTGACAGACACTACAACATTCCGTTCATTTCCGAGAATAATTGAATATTATATATGAATGTTTGTACCTTTTATACATACGTTGCACCACCCATCCATGCTCAACTTTTGAATCTCACGTGGATAGATCAAAATCCTCAAGGAGGGAAGTTGTACGTATATTATGCATTTGAAAATTATCAGGTGATCCAGTTAAACATGGGATTCTCTAATCCAAGTGGTCGCTAAGTAAAACTATGGCCTGGACTCATGTGATCTTAAGCACTGATTGGACGTAACGGTTTATGAACAATATTTAATTTTACATTATTATGACTTGCCATCAATATCACATGGCAGAAATACCTCCTCTCACGTTGTTCTGATTTGGGTCTATCATAGAATCTTAGTAAGATCGGAAGATATTGAACAACATATTGTTAAATCTGTTTGTTTCTTAACTCTTTTCAATGGTTAAGATCATGAGTCAGTTGAAGCTAGACCACCATGGAAAATCTGGAAGTACTGGACGGCCGTTTCATCCTATTGTGCGACTCCTCGGCAGTGCCCATCCACGACCTCGCCCTCTGCGAGATTCGAACCCAGGACCTACTAGTTTCGCGCGAAAGCACTTAACCATTAGACCACTGAGCTGTCATCCAACGGTGTTAATGTCTAACTTCAACCAATCCACGAAATTGAGCGACACATCCACCATTGTCTTCAGTGAGTTACTATCTCACTAGGGACCTGGTTGAACTCCACTGGTTACTACTTCTCACTAGAACTCTAGGATATACTTCGTGAAGCCAATCACTAGTGAGCGTATGTTGATTAATACCAGGTGGGTTTTGCGGAGATTGTAGTAATTTCAATGGTTAAGATCATGAGTCAGTTGAAGCTAGACCACCATGGAATGGAAATTACTACAATCTCCACAAAACCCATCTGATCTTAACTCCTTTATCAGACTATTTTTGTATAGTAATTATACTACTTGTTAAAATTCAGTAACTAGGTTAAACTCAATCAATTTTAAAAAATGACATGCAGTTAACCTTGGCTGTTGTGTGTTGATGTAGTTGTGGTGGTGCAAAAACTTGCAAATACCAAAAGTGAATGAAGTGCAGAATCAATTGATTATATACAAAAGTATAAGTGCGCGGATAAAAAATTAGACATTACATTTTCAGTCAGGGGGAAAAGTGTTTGATTTGGTCAGTAGATTCACAATTCTATTGTATAATTAATAAGTCCGAATGTAGCAAATAATCCTCATTAATATGTCAGATTTAATTCCATAATGAGGAAAAAATTGATATGTAAATGTACGTGATAATTGTATTGATGACCTGTCAATGTGACAGCTGATTAAATCTAAGAACAAGGAGTGCAGGACCAGATGTACATTTGTAAACAACAATCAGTGTGCCATGTATGTGAAACGAAAAAGGGGTGCCGCGAAAGTCGAAGTTAAACGTATCCAGCAAGCTTTCGGTCGATGAAAATGATTGCACAAACTAAATGGAATGACAGAAAACGCTAGCAATGGAAAAAATTATCTACAAAATAAGTTTATTCATCGCATTTCATTGCACGCAAATATGCTATTCTGTTATTTCCCTGTCATTTGATTTTAGTAATTCAAATATTATGACAGCTCAGGATCTCATCAAGACCTTTATAAATTGTTTCGAGGAGGATTAAAATCTTTCAAAATGAGGCATACTGAAAGTATATCACTCACTAAAGAAAGCTACCGATTATGACGATCGAGTTGCTTGGTAATACGCTAAATATATACATATATTTATATATATATTTTGCCTGAATAGCCCATAATTATAACTTAGCTAACAAGCTTGAATAAAAGCATTATTAATAACAGAACAATGTGTACGATGCACTACATAGTGAGTAATTATTCTGGTTAGTGATAAAATTTATCGTCCGTTCTAACTAATTCATTTTTTCACATCAATCAATAATAATTTAATTTAATTCACGGAAATCATGAGGCTATAAGCAAAGATAATTGTAATTGCGTAATCAGATATTTTTAGGTACATACGAATCGATGGAACACAGTCACAATAAAGTGTCAGTTTTTGACTATATTTCAAGTTGGTCACTTAAGCAGCATTGAATATACGACTTATGAGAAATTAATGCAAATCTTGAATGCTCCATTTGTAACACACCAAGAAATAATCATTTTATGTTAATATTTAGTTGGGGGAAGGATACTTCTAGCATAATTCTTAGTGTGGTATGTTTCCTCCGGTAACAATAAACGAATATTTATCCTACACCATTCTAACTAGGATTATTGAAGGAATAGTTCTGTGTATGAGAGTTATTTCTTACCATAAAGTATTGATTATTGACAGTAAATTGTATTCACTTTACACTAGTTACCGAGTGAATGAATACTAACAGAATGACGTCCCAACTTCAATAAAAACTGTTTTGTTTAAAAAAGAAAGTTCAATAATTCAGATTAGACTACTGATTCTTGGTAAGATTCCTGAGTCTTTGATAAATAATAAATCTTATATCAATGTCTTGAGTAAACTAACCTTTGAAATCGCTATATATTTCTCTGGTAAGATTTGCAAATGTTTACAATTTATTTAGTTTCAAATCGTTTAATGATTTAATGTAGCAGGGACTAGAAAGCTTAAACAAGTAGCTTCATTTGGTCACTCAATCGTTTAATTGCTATTTAGGTATTTGATTAAGCATGGTCGTTATTTTCTGAGTAGTAATGATCTTGGCTGAATAGAACATTCTATTGACAATCGATTCCACACAACGCTGTTCCACAAAGTTCTGAATGGTTAAGTGATTTAGACAAACTACTTAGGTGACAAAAGCATAATATATCTCAACGTAGGATGACCCTTCAAACAGTTTCTAAACTTTCATAGATATCCAACATTATTTTACTAAGTACGGTTTCGATTGAAAGAACGTATTATCTTTTTCCTAGCATTGATATTACCTGAGTAAGCTGTCAACTCGAACGACTCCTTCAGATAATATTTAAATAAACATCTCTGAATAGGTTTCAGTAGTTTTGATAACCCTTTTACAAGATTATTTTTAGGTAAGCAATACAACGTAAAAATCAGACGTGAATTTCAGGCAATCCATACAAATGAGGCTAATAACTTAATGCATGATCAAGCAGTTCGAAATGCATCGTGCTCATATAACATATATTTCTAATAAAATTCTTCTTCTTACTAGATTGCCTAAACTGTAAAGTCATTCCAACGGGATGACTGGTTTTAGCACCATTGATGCACGACTAATTAAGGAAGTAGTAATTCATAATGTATGTGCTTAAATTAACATCTTTTTGTTTAGTAATACGGATGGATCGAATGTGTCTATCACATTATCGATCAAATATTTTGTTCCATCACTTATCCTACCTTTCAAGATAGGAAGTCAGACTGTGAATTTCTGAACAACCAATAGAAAAATTGATTAGTTTAAATGACTGATGGGGTACAATGCTTGGTCGAATAGGAAGAGCTAAGGAAAGTTGAAAGTTGTATACGATGAGAGGTGAGAGATACATGGGGGATTTACGTGCAAAACACATGTGCTACTAGTTTTACAGATAAACCACTGAAAGAAATACTGAGGGGTGAATTTTGTAAACTAATCCCTTTTTTAATATTTAGACAGCCCCAAATTACTATCCCAATGACAAATCAATAAGTTAACCACCATCAAAATAAGTCATAAAAAGTTTGTTTATTGTTACAATTTAAGTTCATAATAAATCCATATAATAACAATACCAAGTACTTTCATCCTTTTGACTTTCTAAACTAAAGCATTGAAATTCGAGGTTTTCGGTGATTGTTTTTTTCTAAACTCGAATTGAAGAAGGATCATCTTTATAGTTCAATAGTGAATAATGGCAGCCATTCAACTCGATGATCGTGATCGGACTATTGCCATGGGACGAGGTCTCTATAGATCTTCATCTCCTGGAACAATAAGACTAGAGGTGAGTTAACTTAATAACATATACCAAGACATTATGTACGAGCCTTACTGACAATAGGGTTAGAGGATTTGAAAATTGTAACCTCATATTTCCTCCATAGCTTACTGAACCAGTCTGTTGCTCAACTTGTTGCAATGATTGTTTATATAATCTTTGCTTAATAGGAAATCCTAAAATACACAAAATTTTTGAAACAAATGGATTTTTCTCTGAAATACCGAAAAAAGTCTATGGTTGTACTGCAAAGTCTAGTACTAAATCATGCATACATGGGCTACTTGAGTTTTCGGACAGACTAATTAATTTGATCTTAAGTCACATTTTGACCTCGTCAATTATTTGCTTATAAGCTTGACTGTTTTTGTTTGAGTGCATATGTATGTATCGCTTATGCTACTCATCATATTTCTTTAGTATATTTCTGCCTGGCTATAAATAATAAGTCATGACTTGTCAAACGGGGTTTGCATGTTCGACTCCGGTTTCCATTATTTATGTTTACCTGATTAAAAGATTGTATGAAATAAACTCATCCAACTGAATCCATATTTGACATCTGATTACCACCATTGCACAAACCGGATTAGCTTATGTGCAAATGGAAAATTTAGATTTATTGCATGTTTATTCGTTCACCGAAATCTGATTCAGATCATTGAGCCACAAAAGTACAACCAAGATATTTTTCTCAAATGAAAAATTCATTTTATTATATTATCTGATTTATTTTGTTCACTAACACAAACATTTGTTACTAACACTTGACATTCTTTAAATATTCGACCATTTCATTGGGAAGCAAACACTATGGATTGTATTGTAAAGTGAGTAATGCAAATACTTGTTTAAAATATTGACTAATCTAATATGAATATAACGGATTAACAAATTTCAATCATTATCATTATTTGATCCTAATGTTTGCTTTCTCTTCTAGTAATAAGAGAAAGGAAATTCATTTTTTCATTATATTTTGAATAAAAGAAAGAACTTTGACAAATATGAAGATGTGGATGTTATCTTAATGATACAGATGAAGTTAAGAAATTGGAATCCATGTTATAAGCAAAGATGGATAGTGGCTAGCAGTGGAATCCAGGACGCACGTTTCGATCTGTTTGGGTCTCATCAGCTGGAAGTACCTGCATCCCAGAGTTGATGTACACTCCTGTAATCGAATCCAGTACCGTCCGCTTCAAACGCCATCGCGTCACCTACTTAATTACTGAGTCCTGACAGCTACTAGTCCCAAATAAGACGAAACGCGCGTTCTGGATTCCACTACTATCCATCATCCGTCTTGCTTATAGTGTTTATGACTTAAGGCAATATGGAGGCAATCTATGCAGCATGCACATATGCCAATGAGAGACTGATCAATTGCAGTCGTAAACATCAATGGGAAGATTTAAGTAAACAATACCAAGTGAATTTCAATTATCTAGTTAGTTCGAAAAATTATTTACAAGTTTAACGTAAAAGTTGTTATTTTTCTTGTTAGTTTTCCCGCTGATGGTTATACTGGTTTGTTATAAATGTCTTACATATCTAATGAATTTATAGATAGTTTGATTTTCTCATGGAGAATGAGTTTAGCTAATGGAAAACTTGGATTTTGGCAAGGTATAGAGTCTGATAAATTTAAGTGAATTACCATGACAATCATTTAGTTTAGTAGAAGTATTTTCTACTTTATTTTCATCATTATCTATTTATAATGATAGAATAAAATGTGTTTAATCTGAGTCGATAATCAAAATGCTTGAATTTAGTGGATAATCATTTTTTTTACCAAAAGAACATAGCAACGGAAAATCTGACATTATGTTAGATTAACGTACATTTTGCAAAACTATTCAATGTGTTAAAATGATCTAGTCTGAACTATAATTAAATTCGAATTTTATTTCAATGTTTTTATAACATGTCGTTTATCTAAAATCCTAACAGTCCATATGGCAATGTGTTCACAGCCGTTTTAGATGTTGTCTTAAGTAGATGAAATTCATGAAACTTTGATTTTTTTTGTTTATACAGAAAGAGCCAGTGAAGCTGTAATGAATAAGAGTGTGTTAAAAACATAATTGTAATTTAACCAATTCTTAAAAGTAGACATTAAAGCTAACTACTTTGATATTGTAAGATAAAGGGTTATCTAGATACAAAAATACATTGTATGACAAATGCATTTAAAGTTATTCATATAATAAGAGATTCGAAAAAGTATTCGCTTGAATGAATATTTTAAAATGAATACTAAATCTACTTTGAAAATATGGTGTAAACTTTACTTTTCCAAATTTCTTATATGGTGAACGATATGAAAATATAGAAATCATAAAAGGGTAATAAGCATGAATTCGTTTTGCATTGTTTACTTGAAACTTCCCATTGATGTTTACGACTGCAATTGATCAGTCTCTCATTGGCATATGTGCATGCTGCATAGATTGCCTCCATATTGCCTTAAGTCATAAACACTATAAGCAAGATGGATGATGGATAGTAGTGGAATCCAGAACGCACGTTTCGTCTTATTTGGGACTAGTAGCTGTAAGGACTCAGTAATTAAGTAGGTGACGCGATGGCGTTTGAAGCGGACGGTACTGGATTCGATTACAGGAGTGTACATCAACTCTGGGATGCAAGTACGTCCATCTGATGAGACCCAAACAGAACGAAACGTGCGTCCTGGATTCCACTGCTGACCCACATCCATCTTCGCTTTGTAATAATCATGGTTTAAAGATATTTTTAACAACAAAATAAAATGTATACTGATCAACCAAAACCGAAAAGAAAATCATCAAATCTAAGGATGAATATCATTTGATAACTACTAAAAAAAAGGAGTTAAACATGCTGTTTAATCATCATTTTACATTTTCATTCATAGTATTCATTTTTGTGTATGATATTTTTCTATATTCTAGACAAGAGTGAAAGATCTTGAAGATCAATTGGATGAAGAACGTTCTCTACGAATAAAGGTATGATTAAAATGTATTTTAAAAAAACTGTTTATTTAATTAATAGTTCTAATAAAATTTTTACTACAATTGGAACATATCACTTATCAACAAGTCATGAGGTTATCTTCTTTGGAGATGGTTTTGTTTTAAAATTTCAATATTTTATATAATTTGGTTAAGATATTGTTTATTCATGCTGTTGTACAGTCATTAAGGCATACAAAAACATAAAAATATGGGACTATATTAATTAAATTACTGTGTAGTTACTTAACAAAATATTGATATACTTAAGAGAGAATCCCAAGGTATTAAATTAACTACTAGCTAAAGTTCGTGTCAATTCCTTAATCTTAAATAGCATATGCTTAATTTATGATATCATGTAATTCATTGAAAAACTTCATTAGTTGTTTAATTGAGCCTGGTTATTACATAACAGCGTTATATATATATATATTCAGTTTATGATTAATTAATTACTTACTTACGCCTGTTACTCCTCGTGAAGTAGCATAGGCCGCTCACCAGCATTCACCATCCAACCCTGTCCCAAGCAATCCTTCCCAGCTCCTTCCAGTTGTTATTCATCTTTTTCATGTCTGCTTTCATTTCCCGACGTAATGTGTTCTTTGGCCTTCCTCTTTTCCGCTTCCCCTCAGGATTCCAGGTTAGGGCCCTTGCTTTGTTTGCCAGTCCTCGCTTTTACGTCTGCATCTGAACCTCCTTGTTCATCGATGATACTTCCCAGGTACGTGAAGGATTCTACATCTCCCAGAGTTTTGCTATTAAGAGTGATTGTAATTGAGGACCTTGGTCTCCCCCTTGTGTATGTTGTGGCCTACTGATGCAGAGACTGCTGCTACACTGGCTGTCTTTATCTGCATTTGTTCATGTGTATGCGGTAGCAGGGCAAGGTCATCTGCGAAGTTCAAATCATCTAATTGCTTCTGAGCTGTCCATTGTATTCCGCGTTTTTGCTCAGATGTCGAGGTCTTCATAATCCAGTCAACCACCAGAAGAAAGAGGAAGGGAGAGAGTAGACAGCCTTGTCTGACTCCGGCGCTTACTTGGAATGCGTCTGTCAGCTATCCTCCATGCACGACCTTGCACTGTAGCCCGTCGTATGAGTTCCGGATAATGTTGACAATCTTCTCAGGAACTCCGTAGTGTCGAAGGAGTTTCCGTAAGGTTTTCCTGTCTACACTGTCGAATGCCTTTTCATAATCAATGAAGTCGATGTACAGTGACGTGTTTTACTCAACTGATTGTTCGACGATTATCCGTAGTGTATTTTATTATCATCCCTTTTCGATCTCATGAAATGTTATAAAAGCTTTATCAATGATAACAAGTGACAAGTTCTACTACAGCACTGTACTATAAAAGCATAGTTTATTAATAAAAATCTACATGTCTAATTACTGTTTGTTGAATGTTATTCCTATAATCTCAAACTACTTTGCTTATAACAGTAATACTGATGCTCAACTAAGTAACATAATATAATTCATTGCTTCACAGAGAATCTTTTTCCGTAAGACCCATTCAAAATAGGGAAATAAGATACACTATATTACCACTGTATATTTGACTCAAAAATAAGATTATTAGTAAGTAACAGTATGTTTAGAACGGAAAAGAAAAGATAAAAAACAGTAGTCGATAATTAGTCAAACGAAAGCTTATAATTAGAAAGATTCAAAAACATTATAAAATCAGTATTTGATAAATGTACTTTAAAAATATAATTATTGATCTCAAAAGTAGCTTCCAAAGTTTGTCGTTTTCCCTCATTCATCTAACTTTAATTCATACTTTGGATTATCTTTAAACTTTAACTATTCTTCAAACAATTTCTATCTGAATAATATTGTCATTTGAATGATAATTTTTCCTGTGGAAATTATAAGATAAAAGTAAAGAGGAAAAACATGTAATGTAACTTAGTATTGACATTTATGATGACAATCAGTATGGAATCTAGTGTAATGTTTGGGGGTACTTTGTGTTTACAACTTGTAAAGTGAAAAGAACAAAAACAAAAATAGTTTTGCGATTTTGTAATTTCGACAGTGATTTATTTGAACAACTGGAATATTTTTCTTTCATTTCAATGTTTGTTGTTGTTCGTTGCTTGAAAGCAATACTACTACTACTACTACTACTACTACTAATAATAATAATAATAATAATAATAATAGTAATGGTGATTATCATCATTATTATTGTTATGATAAGACTGATCCATATTTACATGTTCATTATATGCGATCAATATGATCAAAAGAGTGATTAGGGTGGTCTAGCTTCAATTAACTCATGATCTCAACTAATAAAATTACTATAATATCTATAAGACCCCCTTCTGAGACTAATAGATTATGTACGAAATATATTATTGAACAGTGATGGATGTCACATCATATTGTAGTGGACAAGAACACAAGTGGGGGCAATCAGATTTCGGTCATTCTTAAAATTGAAAATATTAAAATAATTGGTTACAAGCAGAAATCAAAATCTGAGTCATTTTGTGTGATGCTTACTTTACTAAAAGTTATCTTGAATAAAATGTATGTGTGACAGTAATTGGACTTTCCTTAAGTTTTTTCTCTTTAGATGAAGTTTTGTGATAATTTTACATTTTTTGTGCCTAGCCAGCGTAAATTTTATTTAATATGTGTAAGATCATAAAAATGTATCGTGTACATATCATCCTGTTGATTCAACACAGAATATGAACCGCTCAAGATTTAAAACCAATATAGGCGTGTAGAATTAATCAGTTTTCTGGACACTCATCTTATATTGGATACATAATATTACCACTCCAGTCTTCATTTTCAACTTAATGCATCAGTTTGACCAAATTCTTGTGACTTTCTTCAATAAAATTTTTGTAAAACTGTACTTTGTATTAGACATTTGTAAGCTCTTTAAACATTATCTTAGTACAAAAAGATCATCCAAATAATTAATCAGTATAGGCACATTTAAGTTTGATTAACTACCGTCTCGTTTGCTCAGTACGATAAAATATAAGAGAAAGATTAGGAGAAAACGAAAAACTTTCAGTTATCGCCACGTTTCAGTCTAAATAATATATCGTAATTTATGTTATTTCAAATGATTTAAATAGTATGTACTGATATGGGTAGTTCTGTTTCAAGTTAGTAGTAGTGATGTATCCGGTGAAATCAAAGAATTGTATATTATTTCAGTTTTTTATAGTCTTCCAATTAGCTGAAAGTTTCATTCTATTATATTTGCATAGCACAGTGAGATTTATGGATGTATCCATTTATACTCTATCGGAATAGATATGCATTCAAAGTGAAGTCAGAATTCAGAATGAGCCAAATAACCGAACCAATCGTTCCAAGATCAACATTTTTCATTCAAAACATGATATGAAATTTTTTCTATTTATTATCGATCTCTTCTCCAAATTTTTTTATGATTAATTTTATCACCAAATTACATCATAGATACTGAATAAGAATAATTTAATGGTGACTGAAATTTCCTTAAAATTTGTGCAATATTCCCAATGTCTAAGAAACCAATTCTTTTGTAGTTTAACATTACAGACTGACTTAAGTTAGACAAATACTGAAAACCGGGAAAAACATGGTAGTCTTTGAATCCTGGTATGAGATTTCACAGCCGAACTCACTCATGGCCTGACCAACGATCGAACCCGAAACCTTCATGCCTCTAAGAAATCGTTTAGCTTTTAGACTGTTAAGTTAACATCCGATGATTTGCATTTCCGACTTTGATCAATTTCGGATATTGCGCAACCACCATTAGTGATAAGCATACAACAATCCAGACATATGCTTCACATCTATATTAAAAACACGAAGTTCTGAGGAGGAATCTCTTTTCAATAAATTTATTATAGAGTTGTACAATCATATATATATATATATATATATATATATATATATATATATATATATATTGTTAAACTACTAGTCCTGTAAGGACATATGAAGAAGGAATAAGCATAATGGTGTAATAGAAAGATTATGATACTAGATTGCGTAATATGAATAGTCACAATAAAAGGTTGTATGTGTGCACCCCTATGGAACCACACTGGGACGTGTTCTCGTATCCAAGTTAAAAGCGAGGAGTGGATACAACCTATGTACCTTATATGGTATAAGTAAAAATTATACGTTAAGGTAATGAGTTCAAATCAAGAGATTAAATCTGTATAGAATATATGTAATAAGTCATATTAATTTGTATAATGATTATGATAATGATATGGGGAGTTGCTATCACCGTAATAACGTATAAACTAAAGAAGATAAATATGTAATTAATGAAATGTCTTAGGAAGATGTAGGATAAAGATATACGCAAGAGAGAGAGAGAGTAAAGGTTAGCAGTGTATATTGAAAATATTGACCGTGTTCAATATGGAAGAACCTTATTGCGGGGCCCTTTGAACAAAATTGGTTTCACACATGAGTCTAGTTTCTTCCAGCTGATATTAAAAGTTTCATCGTTAGGAAATGGGGTTAATCTTGAATCTTTTAAGAAATCATTCTAGACTTGATATAAAACTGTGAAAGCTTTGTCTGTTTTGATATTATGTTCACTATGTACCATACAGTAAAGTGTGTCACTATCTACAGATTTGTTGACCATTTTACCCAACCACCTTGAGACTTATTTATGATCATTGGTAATTCGTAACATACTCTTACAAAGCAATTTCTCAGACTCATGAAGGAGTCTATACTTGAAAAAAGAACGAATTTTTAGGTGATAAAAAATGTTTTTCTTCTATTACATAATACCACTGAACCAACCTTTATATTCTAACTTAACAATTGGAACTTTAAAAATAAAAAAAATAATCTTCAAATTGAATTTATATTATCATTATAAAATTTAATATTTATCATTGTATACATTAACTTTAGACGGAAAGGGAGCTTGCTGAAATTAATGCTGAGTTCGACATATTAAATGCAGATTTTCAAAATGCTAGAGAACAAATAAGTCAACAAGTGAGTATAAATTCTTTCTGTATCATAAAGATAAATTACAGTACAATTTTGAATCTGTATTGATTTAATAATTACATAAGATTCAAGTAAACCATACCAAATGAATTTAAATTCACTCTACTGCACAATAAAGTGGCTATCAGGACTCAGTAGCTGAGTGGATAACGCGAAGGCGTTTGAAGCGAATGGTACTGTGGTTCGAGTCCCGGAGTGCACATCAACTCAAGGATGCATGTATATCCGGCTGACGAGTCCCAAATAAGACGAAACGTTCGTTCTGGATTCCACTGCTACCCACTATCCATCTTTGCTTATCAAGCTTGTGAATTAAGGCAATATTGAGGCAATGCACATAGTATGCAAATATGCCAATGAGAGATTGATGAATTGCAGTCGTAAACATCAATGGGAATATGCAAGCAAACAATACCAAGTGTAATTAGGTGATAGTTATGGTTGATATAATCATTGAGAAGTTCAAACTTACTACTTGCAAGAGGAATGTTTTTCAGTATTTTATTCAAAAACATGTTTGAATGTACTTTGAAACTTAAGAAGGCTTAATTATATCAAATAATTAACAGTTCAGTAAATTAGCTGTCTTATTCAATGTATATAGAGATATATATTTGAATGTAAAGATTAGGTACCAAAATGTAACACTATTTGCTGATCATAAAAATCATTCTAGGATGTTTGTAAACTAGAACCCGTATAGCCACCTTCATGAATGATAAATTTAACAGGTTATTTGAACCTTAAATTAAATTACTGTTTCTAATTCAATAGCATATTACTTTAACTTCAGTTTAGACACTATAATTGTTGGAGTAAAGGAAAAAAGCAAAACAGGAACTTGATTTCCTACGAAATTATTTAACTAACCAACTTATCAAGTACTAATCTAACTAGTCAATAGAAATTTATATTGAGCTCATAAGATGTGTAATTTGGTTTATCCATGGATGATACTGAAATGTAATGTAATGAAGTTTTTGTAAGTATAAACTGAACAAACATCGTTTTATATTCTCTCACTTTGATAATTATTTGATTAAAGAATTTAGGATTCTGATAAACTTGAGGAGTTCTATTTGACTATGAAAGTGATTATTTGTCGAAAAAGAAGTAATTGACAGAACACATTGTTCATAATCCTATCGTCGACATTTTAGGACGGATTAAAATTATCAAAACAACAGTACTATAGTTGTTGGTAAGGAACATAGCTTTATTAATATTGTTAAAGCATTTTCACACTACATGTCTGATATATTAATTTTGTAGAGAATATTTTTACAAACATACCAACCAAATCTTCCAATTTGCATTCGTAGATAATATATTGTAGTTCAATTACTAATATAGGAATATTAACTGGTTTCATGCTTAGAAAAAGGTTGATAAATTCAAATACATTACATTTATTTTATAAAAGGAGGAAACTATCAAAAGACGGGAACAAGAGTTTGCTCGTGTTCATAGAGAGCTGGGTACAATTCGTGATGCAAATGAAGAAAGTTTGGAAAATTTAAGACGTCGTCATCAAACCACAGTCAATGATCTTAATCTTGAAATAAATGTTCTTCAAAAAGCGAAATCCAAGTTAGTAATTATTTTTGAAATGCATTTGATATTATGCCGGATCAGATATGCCAGTCAATATTGCTTCTTTAAGGATTAAATCACTTAAAAATGAATCCAATTTGTTATGTTCTCATAAATTCTTTCTCATGGTAATTCCTTCGTTGTTGACATACAGTAAAGACAAATGGAATAACCTCTTTACCTATTTCACCTTAGTGATATACATTTTAAATAGCCATTGAATTTCAGTCAATTTTCATCATTTATTTATTCAGATGGGCTACCGTTAAAATGTTAGATAACACTAATAATAATTGTATTTAAATTTGTTGAATATTTAGAGCTGAAAAAGAAAGATCTGAAATGGCTAGACAATTGGAAAATGCTTTTATTGAAGTTGAAGATGCTAATAAAGCGAAAGTAAGCAATAAGTTATTATTTTTTAAAATGTATATTTGTTAGGTTAGTACTAGAAAAATAGATTCATTTTTTTCAACACTAGACGATACATCATTAAACATGTAACGTTTATGTGAACCAAAGATGTCAGCTAATTATGCAATTGTAAATAAACTTTACTAAGTGAAGGTAATTATCTTCATAATATTTGTTGAATAAAGCATCTATTGAAAACTTAACAAAATCTATGGACTGTAAGATAAGCAATGGATTCTTAATAATACTATACCGAAATAGTAGTCTAGAGATTTAGAGAAATGTGCTACAGTAATCCGTATGCTTATTTTTCAATGAGGTTCAGATTACTAAGGATAAATGAATGTAAACTTGAATTAAAGTTAGGATATCGTTTGCCTGGTTGTTGAATATATTTATTGTAATAAATTGCTGTTTTTAATATCTGATTGTATTTGATAGTAGGTAAAATAAAAATATAAAATATGTTTTCATTCTATAACTGAATGTATCAGAAACCCATTGATTTCAGTCTTATCCACTTGAATGTGAACTTAACATTTAACGATTCAAACTGTAAAACATTCAATTAGGTAATTTGCTAGCAGGGACCAAATGATGTTGTTCTCACAGTATACTCAGTTAAAACTTTCTTCATATTACAAATGTACCCCAAAGTGAGAATATTAGTCAAAATAGATATCGTTTTATTTTCAAGAACTAATGTGATTGTGTTATATTTCATGGAAACAAAAATCTTTTTGAATACTTTCAGTTACTTTCATACCACTATAAATTTATAATACTATAACATAATGAAAAGTTAAAATAAATGTTCATCTATATTTAGAGTATGTTAAAATATTAAAACCAGCTGATGGATGTAAACTACATGAGAAAATCATTTAATTAAACTGATTATGAAAAAAAATCACCAACTGAAAAACTGAGAAAATTTAGTATGTATTATTTCAGGTAAATGCAGTTCTCCAGTTTCAAACTGTTCCTGGTTTTCTACTAATAATACTTATTAAATAGATCAACAATTAAAAAAATATGTTCAAAACTAATATATCACCATTTGAAGTGATGAAGTTGATATGGATGTGTAATTTTTAGATAAAACTTTACTATACTATGGAATTGAAACTAATCTGTGAATAACATTCATACTTCTATACTCCTTATTGATAATGATACTACAGACTGTTAAAATAAAAAAATTGTGGCTGAAACGGTAAGAAAAATTAAAACAATATGGTGATTTCATGTATCCTATGAGATTTTTAAGGGTATATAAGGAGTTATGATAACGCAGTAAACTTCTTACTAGTTCCAAGTTATTTCAAAAATAAATATAGATATACTTTGTAAAATTATTCACGATATGCATGCCAATTGGCATTATAACACAAAGCCCAAAAGTTACCAAATTGATTTTAATCAGCTTAGCAGTCTTACCGATGTTCGACAAATGAAAAAAATATTAATTTTCTGAACTCCTGACCGTCACTTGGTACTGAATCGTATAAGCAATTAAGTTTTCCCCGCCTAGCCGTAATACAATGTTTCTGTTTAGAAGACCAAAATAACCATACACGACTCCATGTAGGTCAGAAGACCGACAAAGATATATTTACTGGCCATAAAGACAGATTGTAACTATATCTCAGTGTATTTAATCTAAATACGTTTAATCTATACTAAATAATGGTCTAATTCTGAATAATCAATAAAATGTTGTCTGAACGTAATTCATTAATGCCAAAAGGTTAAAAACTGTTAAAAATTATCAAAGCAACTGACTTACAATCCCTAAAACATATATGCGTATGAAATATTTTATTTTATTTATGCCGGTCTACTGTTAAATGACGCCGTGATCCACTTAGTCAATATAGAAATGTTTAACCAATTTTCAAATCCCCGTATAAAAATGTTTTTCATTCTCTCTGCTAACCAGACTGTTGCTCAATCAAAACAAGAAACACTTGAATCTCAAACTATAAGATTGAGAGCGAACTATGAAGAGAGTCAAAAACGTATTACAGAACTTAATTCACAAAATGCTCAACTGATTGCTGAAGCAACTGAACAGGCTAGAACTATAGAAAAGTTAAATACGTCTTTGGCAAGTTGTCAGAGAGCACAATCGATTGCTGAATCAGTAGGAGAAGACCATAAGAGAGCTTTAGAAGAAGAAATAAAGGTACGTTAAAATAAAATGAAAATAAAGTGATAATAAAAGGGCAAACTAATAAACAAAAGAACTTATTATAAAACGTCAGCTAAATCCGATTTGTTAAGTTTTAACAATATGATTATACTGAATATTGAAGTTTAAGTTTTCGTTTGTTATTAAAAGTCAATTGGTATGATCTTCACTTAAAGTTTAACAAATCAAATGTAAGTTGGAAAAATACTAAAAACTAAAAAGTGCTGGATAATTATGCCGTCCTAGCATGTGACTTATTAGAAGTCTTAGTCTGTAGCTTTATCATGATTGCCGAAACAAAGTCAGTCAGTGATGTGAAGCCTTAATCCAGCAATCCTGTAAATGCCTTATTTGACATTCATTCTGTTCTTATTCGTAACTAGCTGAGAGAGTTAGATTCAAGAATTCTAATAAGAAGTAGTGATCATTGGAACCCACCTAAGTTGAGTATGATACAAATATCACCAGTGACCATGAATGATGGTCATACAATATCTCAAATTGACAGAGATAACTTATTTAGAAAATTGGTTACAAGAACCGTGCTCCGAAAGTTAAACACGAGTTGTGAGACCTGAAGATTGTAGGTTTCAGTCGATAGGTTTTCGAAGTAATAGATGAACACTACTCCGGAGTTCTGATTATTTGTGTTTTTTTGATCCAACATATCGAACTACGTTACAGTGAACATTTTACAACAGATCGTTAAGAACGATTCCAGTCCAAAAAGGCAACAAATAAAAATACTAAGATTGTTTTTGAACAATAATAAGCTTTTATTCATGTAACATTAATGACTATTTTCAAAGGTAAACAATATGTGTTTACATTTATCCAAAAAAGGTGATAAATAATTTCAGTCTTTTCTTTCTTTTATTAAAATTTTGTCATAAAATGTTTATTATACTTGATAATAGATTTTCACTTCAGTCTTTTATCTATGAACAATCTAAATAAATAGGTTTATGGTGTAAGTATTGTAAGAGAATATGAATCTATAATGATTGGAACTATTACCATTTTATGATGTGTTATATGTATTAGTAAATGCATTAAATTAATAGAAACAATTGGATAATCAAAAGAAATGAACAAATGATATACTGTGGAAGACAAGAATATCAAAGTAAATACCTAGATTGAATAAAGACTTATCTGTATTCCATAACAAACTTTATTCTGTAAGTGGATAATTGATCTAAGTGAACCGATCACATGTCTATGTCGGAATCAGTCTGTCTGACTAGCATTTTTCTAGCAAAGTCATCTTCTATGGAATAGGGTTGCTGAATCTATGCACAACCCTCCTCTTTTATCCTGGCTTTGGACCGGCAGTAACCTTGGGAGAGCTACAGACGGAGTTATCAGTCTGTCTAACTCTAAATAGAAATCGTCCGTATAGGGGTTGTGGAGATCATTAGGTTTTTGATTGAGATCATGAACCGATTGATGTTAGACCACCATTGAAAACCTGGAAGCACTGGACGGCCGTTTCGTCCTATTGTGGGACTCCTCAGCAGTGCGCATCCACGATCCCGCCGCAGGATTCGAACCCATAGCCTTCAGTCTCGCGCGCGAACGCTTAACCTACTGGATCACTGAGCCGGCATCCAATGGTGATAGTGTCTAACATCAAACGATCCAAGAAATTGAGCGACCATCTTCCATTGTACTGAGGTAGATACTTGTCTCTACCCGACACGGATTAGCTCCACTGGTCACGGCTTCTCACTAGAACTCCGAGAATTCCCTCACGAAGCTAGTCACTAGTGAGCACATTTTAATTATCAGTATAGGGACCATGAAGATTACTAAGTTTTTGATTGAGATCATGAATCGAAACGGCCGTCCAGTGCTTCCAGATTTTCAACGGTGGTCTAACATAAGTCGGTTCATGATCTCAACCAAAATAGAAATCAGTTGTACCTATATTCATTCAGGATTATGTCCTGTTATCTAATGGAAGGGTACATTAATAGTTAGTCTGGACACTAAATCGTAATGACAGACAAAAAAGACAGCTAAACGTTCATCTTAAACCTGTCAAATAAAAAAAGCTCATTTTAATAATACACACAATTAACTATTCACAATTCATCAAAAAATCTCTTTATTTCAATTTCTATAGACTAGAACCTTAGTACAAAATAAATTAAATACAGTACAACAAGAACTAGATACATTAATTCATAGAGCAGATGATGAAGCTGAAAGTGTAGTGAAACTTCAAACTCAAGTTACTAGGCTTACAAGTGAATTAACACAAACTAAAACAAAATATGAAAAAGAATTCAATGAGAAAACTGAAGAATTTGATGAACTCAAGTATGTAACTTATTAATTATTAATGATTCTTTAGTAAATGATTACATAATTTACTTTAATATGATATATGTAATTTATTTTATTTATCATTTATGTCATAACAAGTAAATTTGTGACCAGGTTGTCCAAAGTATACTACATCAGTACCTTATATTTTACAAAACAACTTCTTCTTTTCATAACTATATCGAAGTTTCTAAAAAGGTCTAACCGTTTTAAGAAAAAAAAACACATTTGTTAAACAAAACAACAGATCAATAAAAACGGGAAAAATTTAGTGATGATTGGTTATCTTATGACCTTGGTTTTCATCATTTAACAATTACTTGTTGCCTACAGGTACTTTACTTGTATTATCTTGGTGAAATATTTATATTGAATTTGTTAGCCTATGGTTTTATCTTCATAGTTTTATCAAACCAACTAAATCATCACAGCATTAATTACACTGCTTTCATAAATTAAGACGGTGTGAGTGATGACGGATTTCAGAAATGTGTTAATTTTTACAAGAAACTAATGACCTTTTTGTTGATAAAATGAATACCGAAATTTTGTGAAATGGCAATTTCATTTAGTAGTCATGTAAGATAAATGTATAAAATTTATGACTGCTCTAAAGAGAACACTTGAAGACATAATTTCGTCTTGGTCATGTACTTAGTTTGGTTAATGTTATTTTTTAACCTCAAGTGTGCCATTCGTTCCTTCTTAGTTGAAGATTGTTTCTCAATTATCAATCAAGTTTCCAGTAATTTCTAAAAAAAGTCTACTTATACTCCATATAGCTGAAACAATCGATATCAGTTCAGAAAAATCTTACTTATGTATACAAAAAAAGATACATTCAACCTCATTGTTTATTTTGGCTTACATTAAGGTCGTGTGATTGTTCGTTACAATTTGCTCCAATCCTTTCCATTATGACTTGCACTTCTTTCTTTGAATATACATTCTTTTCAATTTTACTTAATATTCATGTCAATACTATTATTATTATTAATATCATAACAACTATGAAACAGCAATTCCTATTTTATATTAAAATGTCTTTATATACAATATTAACTTAATGATCATGATCCATACATCACCTTAAAGTATACAGTTCTTATCTTTTATGCATGACCTGTCTTGACATTACCAATAATATGGATTAATCCAAATTTAATATATTTTGTGCACTGTAACACAAAAATAATTTTACATATATAACTGTACAGCTTAATGAAGAAGTTTGAAAACTCATTGTTCATAAATAAGTCAATATCTAACAGTACTAGAACAAAAGAACTAATCAATATACCTTACTTTTCAGCTGTTGTTTACCTCAGTGATATAATGCATATACTGAATAATCTAAATAAAGATATTATATCAATAGTAAGTTATTGTACTATCTAGAATAAAATTATTCAGTATATGATAATAAACTTTAACACATTTTATTAATTGATTACTGTTAGACGTCGTTTGAACAATCGTATCAATGAATTAACAGAATCCTATGAACTTGAACGTGGTCGAGTTATTAGTCTTGAACGTACCAAGAATCAATTAGCTAATCAATGTCAAGAAATACAATCTCAATTAGATAACGTGAGTTCAGATTCTACGTAATTTACTAATCACATATATACAATACATTTTAATGTTTGAAACTATCAAACACGACCCATAAGTGTGGCGTTGTAGTGAACAGAACACGGGTGGGTACAATCGAAATTACAGAGTTACTTGGTAAAATAGAAAAACCGTACTATAATACTTAATTTGCAAAATGCTCAATAATCGTCTCGAACTTCGTTGTTCTTGCATTTCCATACTAATTGTTTTCTATTCCCACTCTTCCTTTCCTGATCTAACCCATCTTCTCCTGCCAGACATTACATTCCTGTCTCGCGTCATGTACTACTTATATCAATATAAGTAGCACGCACCACAATGTGACTGATATTTAAATAAACTTATATAAGCAATGTTTGCTTTGTTACTATTGAGCTAGTTAGATCCTTCAAAATGATCTTTTCTTATGGTTTGGAAACGTTAAACCTGTCCTAGAATATGTTCACACAAACCTATAAATTGAACATCATGAGAAGCATAAGCACTCTGTTTCCCAGTTTTCATACAAACACTTAGTTAAATTTAATAAGGAACATTTTTACAATTTGAATTTCACCACTGTTATGGATTTATGTAAAAAAATGTTTATTGGCAAATACTTAACATCTGTGATGAAAACAATTTTTATCGTGATTCAGTAGCTCATAAGATAACGTCACAACATTTGAAGTAACGAAATATGGGTTAATATTGATGGAGGAGTATTAATTCTAAAATACTGACAAAGTGTTAATTTATTGATAACGTTTGATAATAATACTGAACTCCATGCTGTTAAAACAATGAGATAACTTAATTTCTAGATATTATATCATTATTTAACATTTTCAGTTATTTGCTGAATGCACTGAACATGTTCAAACTATCAAAAGCCTGGAAAGTCAAAAGACAGAACTGGAATCGGTTTTAGAAGAAACTCAAACTGAAGAAAGTAATTTACGAACAAAATGCGGTTTATTACAAAGGGATCTTATTCAAATTAGAGCTGTTAAGTCTGAACTAGAGGAACGTTTGACGGTGTTGGAGAAAGAGAACAAACAAAATACTGGTAAATTTGTTAACTTTACTAGTTGCATAGTCAAATGTATAGTTAACTCCTTTTATTCAATGATTTTAGCGAAATCCAGGGCTCTCGTTTCATCCTATTTGAGACTTGTCAGCTACACATGAATTTAAATTACTTCAGAGTTTGTTGCGAAAAAGTAACTAATCATACATTCATGTCAAAATGTACTAGTATAGGTATTAGAATAAGAATTATGAATATGATACTAACAATAAGATCAGATCAAAACTGTTCACTTAAGCATTCATATTTTGTTCTATCGATATGCTTTAAAGGATACTGAAACTATTCAGACTGTTAATAATAAAAACGATGGAACATTTGTGATATCCCAATGAGTATAAAATTGAATTTTTGAAGTTTAGCCTCCTAGTACAAGTCCCTTCTGCAAACCATAAGTAACCGAAACAAATTCAGTACTAGAAACATTTTCTGGAGTTAAAATAGTAGCGTTTTAGGGCTAGTTCATCACAATTAAGAACGAAAATGTAATACACGTGGAATTGTGATGATCCAAATCATTTTTATTCCTTATCTCCTTGTCTTTATGTAGCATTCCTTGAGTTAGTATTTATACACATTTTTTTCATGGGGTCAGTTTGAATAACCAACAGAAGTTGCAATTACAAACTACTAAATGCCAACTGATGCATGAATACTTAGGATTTGATCTCTGACGTCATTATCGGTATATACCACTTAAGGTTCTCATTTAGAACGATGAAATTGCTCACAGAATCCTTGTTTTCTAAGATTGTTAAATTCAACCTGTGATATAAACTATTTTTAATCTTATAAACGAAGCGCTATTGAAGGTCTGAAAGAGTTAAAGAATTAAGTTCAAAATGTGTGTACAGTTAAACTGTAATAAATGCATTATTGTTATGTAGTAAAAAAAGTTATTGTTCTGAGTTAAGAAAAGTATTATTACTTACATGTATTTATATACTAAGTTAAAAAATCTTAGCTACATTTACATTTATGGAAATAGCATATAGTCACAGTTACTGAAAGTAAACAGTTATATGTGTTACAAAAACCATCTAATTAGATATTATCAGAGGCCCCCCCCCAAAAAACTTAACAATTTTTTGATTTGTATATAATTAGAAGTAAATGTATATATATATAGTTACTTGTATTTCTTTTTATTTATCTTAAGTTCTTCTTCAAACCGTAATGAAGCCTATAAGTTTTCAAATCCCATATAGGAGGACAAAGTGTCATGCAGTTTAAAATTATGTTTTGCTGAATATGATTGATTCTTCATAAAATATGCATCTATACTCATCTTTATTTGCATAATCAAATAAAAAAAGTTTTCATTGTAATTATCTTGAAAGTTACTGAAATAATTCTAACTTAAAAAGTGCTTATATTAACTATCTTTAAATCGAACTTTTTGATTCAATTTTTTCCATTGAAATCCATAGACGACGAGATTATAATTTATGGACGAACCAGTCATGTATAAGATAACAGGTCTTAGATTTTGGTGCGAAATTTACTCATCTATTTGGCTAAATAGATTTATGACATTAAAGCTGATGTCAGTTAGTGATGAAAAATCTAAATCTAATTCTTAACCTTAATCATCAACTTCAAATCATAATTATATTTTGTCATACTGGTTTATACCACTCATTTGGTCCTGGTAAACACTCTTAAGATCAATCTGGCGTCGCTCAAATGTTGTCCATAAATTATATTCTCACCACATAGACTATTACTTAATTTTCTACCCGAACTAGCTAGATGTATACAGTTACATAAATAAACGATTTATATTCGTTTCCGATTTTAATATAATTTTAACAAATTCAATGTAAAACATAAAACCAACTTCACTAATTCAGAAAATGTGACTATATGTATAATGTTTGTTCTTAGCAAATCTATTTTACTGATTGAAATCATGAGTCAGTTGAAGCTAGACCACCATGGAAAACCTGGAAGCACTGGACAGCCGTTCCGTCCTAGTACGATCCCGCACCCTGTGAGATTCGAACCCAGGACCTATCAGTCCATGGTCTAGCTTCAACTGACTCATGATTTCAATCAGTGAAATTTCTAAAATCTCAACAAAACCTTTTCTGATAATAATCATCTGCTCACTCGTGACTGACTTCAAGAGATACTCCTGGAGTTCTATTGAGAAGCCGTTACCAGTGGAGTTCAACCAGGTCTGTTGTGAGGTATTAGCTCACTGAAGACAATGGTGCACGGTGGCGCAACTTCGTGGATTGATTGAAGTTAGACATTAACACCGTTGGGTGATGGGTCAGTGGTCTAGTTGGTTAAGCGCCTGGCGCGAGACTGATAGATCCTGGGTTCGAATCTCGGAGGGGGGGTGAGAGATCATGGATGCGCACTGCTGAGGAGTCCCATACTGGGACAAAACGGCCGTCCAGTGCTTCCAGCTTTTCCATGATGGTCTAGCTTCAACTGACTGATGATTTCAATCAGTGAAATTTCTAAAATCTCCACAAAACTCTTTCTGATAAAATCTATTTTAATAGTTAAAGCATTCAAATAAGATTACATCGTACTTCTAATACCATTCATAATATTGAATAAGTAATATTTGATTATATTCTGTAAAATCAATTTTTGTACTGAACAATTTCACTCAAAGATTATATACTTTATATAAGAAAATTTGTTTAGTGATAATCAGTTTGTGAAATTATATCAATCGTTTACTATTTATCATTATTCATATTGTATATATGTATTAAGAAAAACTAAAAGAAACTAAAGAACGTTTATCAGCTGTTAATCGACAAGTTACTGATTTGGAGAGTTCTCGAGCAAGACTAGAAACGGAAAGAGATAATCTAGACTCTACATTAAAAGATACAGAAGATGCTTTACATGAATGTGAAGTAAGTTTTAATATTTTCAGAAAATATTTATGTAAAAGTTTAAATGAAATAATTAATTACAGTTAAATATAATAGTTTGTTTAGTTTCTTATTATGATTAAGAAAACTGCTACAAACTGACAGACAACTACAGACTATGATGAATAACTTGATGCCTTAATCTTTTATGATCCGTAATATGATAAAAAGTATCATGTAACTACAATACCCACATCTAAACTGAATCAAATTTATTGCTCTTAACAGAAGGCGACTTAATACAGGTTCATACAGTGACATAGCTTTAATACCATGACTTCCAACTCAAAATGAATTTTGTGAAAAGTGACAGACGGTTTAATAATTGAAAGCCTAGACAATAGAGGACGGATCACCAAAGCTTCCTATTAACAGAATATTCGTTTGAATGAAATTAATTAATATACACATAAGATTTAGAATGGATATCGTTGTAAGTAGTTTAACATCCAATGAATCTCGAGACACTTTATCAACCTTTTTGTGTGCCGATTCTGAGGGCATCATTTTCATTTTGGATGAATGAGGTAAATTCCTTCATACATCTAACTGTTCATTGGAATCCAACTTACTATCTGATTATTAAGGCAATTTTTAAGGTGTTAAGTGTATGACTACACATTAGAAAATCCCTAACATTGTTCATTATTACAATATTTCAAAACTTTAAAATACAACAAACGCGAATAAAATCTATCTGGCTACCACAGTCACGTGTATAAAGTGTCTCTTAGGCAGTTATTAATATTCTGAATTATATTTCAGTTGATTCGTTACAGGTAAAAGCTTGTTTAAACAAGCCTATTTCAAAGTTTGTTTTATATTGTGAAGTGATTACTTCTTATATAATAAGTATTGGCAACTTATTACAATCTGTTAGTAATTATTCACTAGCCATTAGTGTTGTATCTCATCATTACCCGTTTACACGTATCCAATTCTTACCAGTGCATAACAATGAAAATCAACTCCCTATATAAATAATATTTTGATAAAGATCTTATTATCTTTTTTTCTTTATAGACTCGTTACCAAACAACATATTCAGCTTTAAGTACTTTAAGAAATGAATTTGAACGTCAATCAAGAGATAAAGAGGAAGAAATGGAAAGTTTAAGGTGATGTAGATTGATGTTCATGTTTCAATGATAGAATAATGTACAGTATCTCCTTTTTGTTTGTTTATTTTTGAAATTACTTATGTTAACATTGAAAAAGTGAATTCTAGTAAAGTTTAAAAGGATTATTTTAGTAGGTATCATTTTTTGAAGTTTTATGCTTCTGACATTTCATACATTCTAATTATAGACGTTCAAGTCAACGTAATGTGGAAAATCTTAAAGCAACTGTAGCAGATATGGAAATGAAAAATCAAAATGAATTAGATCGACTTAAAAAGAAACTAGAAGGAAATATAAATAATTTACAAGTTCAATTAGAAGATGAAAAAGCTGCTCATTCAGAAACTATTAAATTACATCAAGAAGCAGAAGCACATATTTGTCAATTAGAAATAGATATAACAGAACTAAATAATTTGGTTTCTGAAACTGCAACCACTTTACAGGTAAATTAATGACATTGTTCTATAGTATAGTTACTAATGAATGAATCCATATAAATACTTGTTTTCAAATATAAATAATCAATGTTTTTATGATGAAATTAATTATTTATAATTTTTATATTTAATTAACTAATGTAAATAGGAATAATTCCTTTTTTAGATATGCGAAAGTCGTCGATCTGCTTTATCAAATGAAGTAGAAAGCTTAAGGAGTCAATTAGAAATCACAGAAAGATTAAAACGAAAACTGGAAGAAGAGTCATCGGAAAATATGTCAAAATTTGGTGGTTTGACAATACAAATAAATAATCTGACAGCAGAAAAACGAAAACTTGAGGGTCAGATAGCTGTGCTTGAAGGTGATTTAGACGACGCTACAGGTGCAAAAGATGTGAGTTATTATTGCATTTTCAAGACAATCATAACTCGTTTAATCACACTATAAGTAATGAAATGTCTATTGAAATCCTGGCAACTTTAACTCAAATATACTGGTGTATTTAAGGTTTAAGCAACGTGATTGTATATACTTTCCATTGTATTGTAATAATTGAAAACCCCGAAAGTATATCACACAAAGTCTGGTTGCTAGAGCAATTTGACAAAAATGGTCACCCAATATTGCATACTGGCATATTGAAATTTTGTGTGACATGTACAACCTGTACATTCCATTGTGTATTATGAATCATAAAACAATTGATGAAACACTTTTGCAGTATATTTCTAACACCAAATGATGCTTACATTTAAAATACGAATTTGGGTCGAATTCATGTTTCACTGGAGCCTATTAATGAAGTGTTCACAGTTTCAAGTGACTTAATTTCTGTCTTATTCATATTTACTCTGTTCATATGCAGTTAATATATTTAAATTTGACGGAACTAAGTAGTTTAAAGTAATTTCCCATTTATAGATTAGTAATATTTTACTAATATGGACATTTTTGTGCACAAGATGGAGTCAATTAAAACATTAATGATAATATCTGTTTTCTTCAAATAACTTGACCTGTAGCTCTTCTACGGCTACTGCCGGTCTCAAGACCGGGTAAATTAGGAGGTTTGAGTATGGCTTTAGCCACACCGTTCTGCAGAAAACAACCTTGCTTAAAAACACCAACCAGAAAAAATCATTGAAACTACCTATACTCTCTCCTGCAAATACAATGATCTTCTTATAAAAGAATTATGGTGCCTCATGGTGAACGATGAGAATCTATGGAAGTCATGAGCTCCTTTTTAAACCAGAGTAACAATTAATATAAGTGCATGGAATGTTCGGAAAATATGTGAGACCAAGAGAATCAGACAAATAGTTACGGAAATGAGGAGATGCAACTTGGTGGTGCTCGGAATAAGTGAAACCCGTTAGACCCAAGCAGGACAGTAAAGGTTAGATTGATCAGAGATGCTGCTGTACTCTGGTCACAAACAAGAAAATGATCCATACACTCAGGGAATTGCTCTGATACTGTCCAAAGAAGCACACGAAACACTTATAGAATGGGAATCTCATGGATCCAGCATTATCAAAGCATCCTTCAAAATAAGCGAAAAGGTAATCGCAATGAATGTTATTCAGTGCTTTGCACTCACCAATGATAACAATGAGGACGACAAAGATCAGTTTTACGAGAGGCTGCAATCAATCATAGAGAAGTTTACAAGAAAGGGCCCAACCATCCTAATGGGAAACCTAAAAGCCAATGTCGGAACGGACAACACCGGATATGCATATGTCATTGGGATGACATGGAACGACTGGGAGAAAGGAACGAGAATGCAGAGAGATTTGCTAATTTATGTGCATTCAACAAAATGGTTATAAGTGGCACTATATTTCACCACAAACACATACAGAAAGCTATATGGGTCTCATCAGATCACACTACACAGAACTAGATTGATCATATTTACATCGCTAAAACGGAAGATGCGAGAACCAAGTGAGTAGCTGACATAGCTACAGATCACCACCTGATGGTCGTCGAGATGAAACTGAAGCTAAATAAGCACTGAATAACTGAAGAAACAGATCTAGGAAGGTTTAATACAGCCTTTCTCCGAGATACTGACAAACTCAACCAATAGGTTCCAAGCCTTAAAGGATTTACTGAAATAAGAAACTACTATGGAGCTGCAACCATGCTTCACACTCTGTACATGAAGGTTTGGTAGGAAGCACAAGAGCGTTTGACGGTGTGGACAGGAGACATTTATGGGTCCTTCTTCGACACTATGGTGTACCTGAGAGGATAGTCAACATCATACGGAATTCATACGATGTCGTCCATGGAGGACAGCTGAAAGATATATTACAAGTGAAGACCTGTCAGACAAGGCTGCCTACCCTCCTACTTTCTCTTTCTTCTGGTGGCTGATTGGATTATGAAGACCTCCACATCTGAAGAGAAGCACGGAATACAATGAACTTTTTGAATGCAACTAGACGATTTGGACATTAACATCGTTGTGTGTTGGCCCAAATGGTTTGCAGGTTAAGCGTTCATTCGAGACCGAATGCCCTGGGTTCGAGCCCCGTGTGCGGGATTGTAGATGTGCATTGCTAAAGAGTCCTATACTAGGATGAAACGGCTGGCCAGCGCTTACAGGCTTTTAGCGGTGGTCAAACATCTACTGGTTCATGATTCCATGAATTTTTCCGTTGAAAATGAATGAATTGATCTAGAAATAATTCTCTAATGTGTAAAGATGGAAAATAACCCCATTTCGCTCTTGACTTTTGAACTAGAACAAAAATATAGTTTAACATTGAAACTTGATCGTCTTCAGTAAAATTTTCTCATCGCAACTTAATTTGGTCTGTTCTCATATAACGAATATCTCGATTATAAGATTACAATTTTCTACAAAATATTTCCAAAGTACAATTACTCTAAAATTAAAGTTATTAAATAAAATCGATTTAAAGTGTGGAAGCTGTTCATTCCAATCCATTATGCTGACCTATCTAAAGCACTTGACAAATAATTAAGAATCTAGGACGTATTGTCTTATTATTTTTTGCATTCACCACAGGTTGCCACAGAGAGAGCAGACAGACTTCAAAATGAAGTTAACCGTCTGGCTCAAGAACTTCAAACTGAACAGGAGTCGTCACGTCGAGCAGATACTGCAAGAAGGCAATTGGAAGCAGAACTAAAAGACTGCAATGCTAAGATTTTGGAAAGCCGAAGAGCAGCTGATACAGCAGAACGTGAAGCTGATGATGCCAAAAGTCAAGCCGAGATTAAAATACGAGAGTTGCAGCTAGCTTTGGAAGAAGAATCTAGAAAGTCAAGAGAGGCCCAAACTCAACTAAGGTTAGAGAGCTCAGTTTATTAGATGTTTTCTCAAGTTTAAAGCTTTATTAACGTCTAAGAAGGTCTGTTATTCCATCATGATCCGTAAAATTCCATTACATTTGAGGTTCTAAGACTGGTAGTGAGGTTCTAGAGTATTTTCTTGTCCCAGTTGATGACTTGTTTTACTATGAATTCGAGAAGCATCAGTCTGTTCTGTACGCTGTATAAACGGTTGTGGTACCTATCAGTTACCTACTTATATCACTCTATGAAACGAATACATGCTACTTCATGATATGAAACCTCATCGACTGTTTAGGAAAGTCTTCAAGATCAGATTTTTCGTCGTTCCGATGACATTAGTTTATTTAGATTTCTACTGATCGTCTTTAATACTGTTAGTGAAACTGAGGTTCGCACATATACGGATATTAGGTTCATGAAATTTGCACGAAATTTTTATGAGTAAAGTTCATTCCTCGCTAGAAATCAGTGTTGCCTTCAGAAAACCGATTGACCATTGACCTCTAGGACTCAGGATTTGTTTTGTTATGTAGACATGACAGATGTTGATGTCTGTCGCTACCTTCGATAGTAACTCATCTAGTGGGTAATTTCTATAACTTGGATCATATAAATACTTAGCTTTTGATCCCCTATTTAACGAATTCTGGTTTTTTTGGAAAATGACTGATCTATCTAGGAGACCCAACTTATTGAACCGTAGGTTAGCTTTCGTAATTTCTTTCCTTGCTGATTGATTAAACAACTGATGGCTGGATTCGAAAATTGTTTTACTTAACCAATTGCACTCCTACAGAAACACTTCCCGCGCTTAATAATATTAAGTTACTCGTTAGTGATCCTTTAAAAGTTTGTCATAGTTGCTTTGTTAGGTTTCGAAAATGAATTAATAATAACACAGCTTCTTCGATATCCGTTACTTGTTTTTTGTTTTCTAAATCATTCATGGTTCAATTTTCTGCTATACTGTGCCAACCAGACATATCAGTTCAAGGCCAAATGAAAGGTGAGAGATGATGAAACTAGTCACAAGAAGATATTTATAAACACCATAAATTCTCATCACATGCATCAAGTTCTATTTATTAAGTTCCAAAATAGATAAAGTTTTATATACTTTATTCAGATCTAATTCCAAATCTTTAATTAAATAAGTACTCATCAAGGTTGATGAATGAATTATCACCTCGCAGTTGGATATAGTCTTTAATGTTACCTTGATTTCACTTAAAACGTCGCACAAACTTGATCAGTCAAGTATCTAACCCGTTACATACCGTTGTGAGGAATGACTAGTCATCCAATTAAAATTGTCGGAATTAACAAATGTTTTCTCAAATTTAACAATCAAATTATGAAACTTAAATACCATATCACAGGTGAATCTTACAATTAATTTGATCTAGATTGACTTACATGGTCAACTACTTAATCAGTCATTTGATTTGTGACCAAACATCTTCATTTAATAATAATTGTGTGTTATCACAGACACGCATACACGGTTTCAACCAGTCACTCTCAGAGGTCAGATGTGGATAGCTACAAGATATCGGACACAGGAACCAAGATACTCCATGGATATTGTATATTATCCATGGAGGCGGGAAGAGGGTAGATGATGTTCACAAACTTCAATTTCTGTAGGTGAATCCGAAACTCCAGACTTATTTTCCAGGAACGGTAGGTGATGCATCAAATCAGTTAGATATATCGGTTCAGGTTAATCATTTAAAGCCTCCAATTCACGCTTCGATTTTTCAATTCAGTAAAAAGTTTGATTTGCACATAGAAAGCCTGTATACCAATATTGAACTTAATGCAACCCTTTAAATCGATTCTCATCGACTCCACACCTTCCAGCATCAAGAAGAACTTCGTGAGTTATCTTGCATCGGACATCCAGAGTTAAGGTGGATTGTAGAATCATCTGAATACGAGAGAAGGCACTTCAATGCATAAGTTGCGCTACTTTTTAAATCTTTCACAACACCTCACACATTCAACTAGAGTCCACTATTTAGAAGACTTATCCAGAGCATTTATATAACTGTTGGATTTAAAGAGAATGTTGAAAAACACAAAGTATTTTATACTGAAGTAGTTTAGATAATACGGGATTGGAAGATCCTGATACCAACCCTTTTAAATGTCTTACCAGTAAAACAAACGAGTAGGAGGATTAAAAGTGTCGAATGAGGAACTATACTTGATCACACGCTTGTGTAAAATAACTTGAATCTTCTTTGCTGGTTATCTAAAAGGATGGAGGAAGTGTTTCATGTATGTTAAAGCATGGATAAACCGGGGTGCCCTCAAGTAATTGTATTCGTTAAGACTAACAATATCACAAACGGTGTCGAACGTATGCGAAGCCATTGATTTGGGGAAGCTACCTACCACTGCAATATAAAACTGAAGGCATTTGACCGAAATTCTCTCAAACCAGGATAACCCCCAAAAAATAGTCGATAGTTTTTGTTAAGTTTATATGATTTTGTTTCAATAATTTGTGTTTTTTATGATTTTTGTTTTATAGAAAATGTGAGAGAGCACTCAAAGAATCAGTACAAGCTGAACAAGATGCTGGGCATATGGTAAACGAACTACGTGAGATGGTTGAACGAGCTCAAACAAAACTGAAACAAACCAGGAAACAGTTAGAAGAAGCAGTATGTGTACTTTGTAAAATGTTAGGTTCAATTAAATCAACTACTAGTAAATAATTATAGGTAATACACTGTGAATAGATTAATCTCAATGCCTATTAGAAAACAGCACAGTTGCTTACTGTAAAACAACAAATCTGTCTGCTTGGTTTGATACGGTAACAATAGCAAATATATGTGCACTATACTTATTTCCTTAAGAACGTCGGCACTCTTTTCAGTGGTTATGAATGTTTTATTTTTCTTCGGTAGCATTATCGAAGTACAAATGACAGATTAAATATTCCATGTGAGAAGTATACAAATTACAGTGAATGATGCATCTGATCACATGATTGAATTTTTTTTTAAATGAGACGATTTTATTTTTACGATAGATTGATAACCAATTATGTTAAGAATTTAATTTAATTTAATTACAGGAAAATGCTGCTCAAACTGCTTCAATGAAATATCGTAAAGCACAACAACAAGTGGATGATGCAGATTTACGTGCTCAAATGGCTGAAAGACGTATAGGTTTAACTGCTCAAGAAGATAATGTAACAACTTATGGAAATTACAATAGACAACGATCTGGTAGTCTTTATCCAACTAGAACAAGAAATTATTCAGTAACACGTGAAGGATCCGTATTTAGTGTTATGAGTGAATTACCAGCCTCTCCACATAAAACTCGTTTTCAAACAGCTATTCCAAAATGGAATAATCGACATGAATTAGGAAATTATCAAAAAGAAAATGGTAGTTCATTAAGTCTTCTTGATCTACCACCGGCTGATACAAGTTGTAGTTGATTCTGTACTAATCAATTAGACTAGTAACAAATTAAATTAGTCACATTTTTGTTCACCCTTTTATTACTATTATCTATATAATCATTTACACTTTAATGTTTTGACAACTTTTCATATAATTCCATCTTATTACTTTGTAAAACAATTGAATTACTAGTAAATGTTTATTAATAATTTCCATTTGCCATACCCTGTTGAAATGAATTTTCTTTAAAGTGATCCACTTTAAACAAATCCATAGTTGAGTATTTTTTTTTCTTTTTTCTTTTTTTTCAATTTTACAACCAACTGGAATTAGTGAATTAATTTCAATGATAACATTTTTCTTTTTTTTTTCCCAAAAAAAGAAAGAAAGAAAGACGAACCACTTATGTTATACATGGTATAACATTTGATTTATTGCGCATTATTATTTGTTTAGTCTAGTGTATATTTGTGTTTCATATTTTGAATGAATTAAGTTTATCAGTATGTTGCTCTTTTTTTCTTTCCTTTTTTCTTTTTTTTCAGAAGAAAATTCCTTTAACCATGAATGATTATTAGTTACCATTGTAGACCATATTAGTAAACATTATGATTTTATGAATCATTATTGGTAAAACAGTTTCATATTGATTAATTAAACCCTTTTCTTTTCTATATTCTCCTTTATTTAGTGACCAAAAATAATGTTTATACAAAAAAAAGAGGAAAAAATTTCTTTCTTTCGTCTTAAATTCTTTATTACATAATATTAAATGGTTGAAATTTAAAGCAATTAGTCCTTTTGATAAATTTTGATAGTGTGATAAGAAGACAAAGATTATCAGAACTATGTGATATATTAAGACAATACACTTCGAACAATCTGATCACATATATACTTGTTAAGAATAAGTATATAAGAAGGGGATTTTTTGAGATTTTAGTAATTTCAATAGTTGAAATCATGATTTAATTGAAGTCAGACTACCATAGAACACCTGGAAGCACTGGATGGCCGTTACGTCCTGTTGCGGGATCCCTAGGTAGTGAGCATCCATGACCCCGCCCCGCGGATTCGAACCCAGGACCTGCCAGTCTGTCGAGTGAGAGTTTAACCGCTAGACCACTGAGCCGGCAGCTAACAGTGTAAATGTCTAACAGGACGAAACGGCCGTCCAGGACTTGCAGGTTTCCTATGGTGGTCTGGCTCCAATTAACTCATGATCTCAACTATTGAAATTACTACGATCTCCACAAAACCCCTTCTCATGTTGGAAAAACATTTACATATAAAAATAAAAGGTCAACTAGACTGGAAATGGATTAAGAGGAGACGAGGATAATAATAAGAGTAATGTGAACACAATTTGGAACCTCATCACTCTGGATAATAAGCCGAATATTACCAGGTTAAGCTTAGGGTGTGAACAAACTGTTTTTGAATACACAAACGGGGTTTGAATTTTCGTATGGCTAAGGCTTCCATAAACCTTGGTACACGCTCTTTTACACTTTGATACAACACCACAAAAGCCGAGTTAAGATCAATCCTGTGGCCTGTTTAGATTAAATGTTTAGCAATAGAGGATGATGGATGTTTGTCCTTTACTCTTATCGGGTCACTTGTTTCTATTTGTTTCTGCAAACATTTGGGTACATATTCACATATCCTAATCACGATTGCTCCTCCATATGTATGTGTGACCACACACACATTTAAATTGGTAAACACAGTGGGATGTAACATAACCTTTTTTTGTCTTTTAGGTTTTGGATGAAGCATGCACCTTGTTTTTTTTTCACAATGACCTTTGCTGCGCAATACGTTTTGTTGATGACTGATTTAAGACTGTGTTCCAATTAAAGTTGTGATAATCTCCACCTTCTTATTACGTTATCGAAATGGTTGAAATGTTGTTAAGGCATGCTTGATAGATGATATTGGTTTGTTCAACACATAAAAATACACAACACTCAACTTCAAAAACATAATTCTAACCATTTAAACTTGACCGTGAGTATTCAAGATGTAAGAAGCCTACTGAAAAAATATAAAATGAGCATCGATTTCAGATCTATAGGGGAATGTTGACGTGCCAATGTGCTGGGAGTGGCTCTTCGTTAAATCAATTTTTTTCTATCATTACATAGATAGAAGTTAATCTGTCAACCAAGGATTCACACTATCCATTTTTTTTAAGATAAAGAATCTAATGTGTATTACGACGAAGAGGGACTTCAATATCTAGCTTGTTGACATTAATTATTTTGTGTACTTACTTACTTAAGCCTGTTACCCCTCATGGAGCAGTATAGGCCGCCCACTAGCATTCTCTATCCAACCTTGCTAAAAAAACACTGACCCGAATAAATAATTATTTCGTGTAGTTACATGTTAAATAATTGGTGTCGCCATGATAGCTTTCCAGTAGATAATTCAATTTTGTTTATCATTTAGATCAGAACTAAATTAATGTGGATTAGATTAGAGTTTTAAATTTTAAACCAAACAAAAGTTTTTCTACCAGTATAACATTAGTTCAGTTTTGGTGATTTCTAACTGTTGGTGGGCTAACTAAGATTATCGAGTTATTTATGAGATGACCCAACAATGACCTCATTGATGAATAGACGTCCACTGCTTAATAACTCCCATTGAATTGTGAAAAATTCATAATTGTTTATACAGTTATATATATATATATATATATATATATATATATATATATATATATATATATATATATTGAATAGTTAAAAAAAGTTTAAAAGTTTGATGAACAAAATCTTGATCGAACAACCTCTGTTTTATTTAGGTACAAGTCCTTTAGATTGGGGAAATATTTGAGTATCATCTTTTTGTGTTACACCACTATGTATTCTATCAATAAAATTAAAAAAAAAATAAAAATAAAATGAACAGATGAATATGACATATTCTATTCAAATTACATAAAATTTATCCTGTCTATAGGCATAGTAGTTTTTGTATTCTCTAAATGTATTAAGGAAATTAATTTCATAAAGTCTTTTGAATTCTCTTCTCTTATTGTGATTTAATGAACCTGAATGAAATTAGTAAACCTTACAATTATACTGAATTCTAGATAGTTTAATAGAATAGATCAATATACTCTGTAAAAATATTGAAGTTTACCAGTAATACTGATAAGAACTTCTCAGTAATATTATAATTTTGCAACATTCATTAGAATACTTAATAAAATGTTATTTAGTTTTAAACTTCCTAATTAAATGTATTTAAACACAAATTGACACTATGTATTCAAACTAAAACAATGAGCAACTGCAAAAAAAAATAACAGTCGAAATTCCCTGATAAAAACAATTCTTTTATTCAAAGATTCATTGTGTACAGAACAAATCGCAACAATACGGATCATTATAGAACAATCAATCAAATGGAAGTCATCACTCTACGTTAACTTCATCAATTACAAGAAAGTATTTGATAGAGTGGACAGCACAATACTATGGAGGCTTCTTCGACAGTACAGTGCGCCTGAGAAGATAGTCAATATCATACAAAATTCCTATGATGGATTAAACTGCAAAATTGTGCATAGAGGACAGCTGACAGACTCGTTCGAATTAAAGACCGGTGTCAGGCAAGGTTGCTTACTCTCAACCTTTCTCTTTCTCCTGGTGATCGAATGGATCATGATGTCAATATCTGGGGAGAAACATGGGATACAGTGGACAGCTATGATGCAGCTGGACGGTCTAGACTTCGCAGATGAACTGGCTCTTCTACTGCACACGCAACAACAAATTCAGGAGAAAACGAACAGTGTAGCAGCAGTAAGTCTTAACATACACAAAGCGAGATTCTCCGATACAACACAACATGCAAAAATCGAACCACACTTGATCGAGATTTTGAAGATGTAAAAACCCTTACATATCTGGGAAGCATTATTGATGAGCACGGTAGATCTGGTGCAGATGTGAAAGCGCGGATCGGCAAAGCGAGAGAAGCATATCTACATCTGAAGATCATCTGGAACTAAAAACAACTGTCAACTGCCAACATCAAAGTCAGAATTTTTGATACAAATGTCAACACAGTTCTACTGTATGGGGCGGAAACTTGGGCGATTACGAAAGCCATCATCAAGAAGACACGAGTGTTTATTAACAGCTGTCTACGCAAAACGCGTCGTATCCGTTGGCCAAACACTATCCGCAACAACCTATGGGAAAGAACAAACCAGATCACAGCAGAGGAAGAAATCATGAAGAAGCGCTGGAAGTGGATAGGACACACATTGAGGAAAGCACCCAACTGCGCCAGAAGGCAAGCCCTCACTTGTAATCCGCAAAGCGAAAGGAAAAGAGAAATATTAAAGAATACAGTACGCTGAGAAATGGAGACAGACATGAGAAGAATGAACAAAAATTGGATAGAACCAGAAAGGAATGCTCAGGACAGATTGGGTTGAAGAATGATGGTAGGCAGCCTATACTACATTGACGGTAACAGGCGTAAGTAAGTAATATTAATCCCAAAAATAGAAGTTGGTTGAAGCAAATAACCTTGAGGTACTTATTATTGCATCGTATGATGTATTTATTTCTATTTAGACAAGATATTTTGTTTTCAATATCTACGGGATTTTTGTCAAATTAATCTCTACTTAATCTTCTTTATTTAACTATTCCTAAAAATAAATGTTATAAGCTACTGATTTACACTAGAAGCTAAAAGTGAAACAAGGGAAATTTCACAGAAAATATGGTGAGACTATCATTTATGGACAACATCTGAGCGACGCCAGATTGACCTTCAGAGTGTCTGCCTAATAACCAAGACAAAATGAAGGTTATAAATCTGTATGAGGAATTAAAATTATGATTTACAGTTGATGGTTAAAGTTAGAAATTAGATTTAAATTTTTCATCACGAACTGACATCACCTATAATGCCAATACTTTATTTAGCCAAATAGATGGGTGAATTTCGCGCCAAAATCCAAGACCTGTTATGTTAGACGTGATTGGTTCCTACATAAATTATAATCTCACCGAAAATATTAACAATCTTTTAGAAATTATAAAAAATTCTATCAGTAATATCGTAAAAACTAAGATAAATTATTGAGATAAAAATTTTTTCTTTAAATTATTATCATGACAAAAATAAATTTCTGTATAGTTAACGAAACAAAGAAAAAAGAATATTGGAATAATGTAGATCTGGGTCAAGGAAAAAGAAAAGTAAAAAAAAATAAAGAAAAGAACTGTCAAAAACTTATCAAGAAAAAGTATAACTTCATCAGCATATTCTTCTTTTTATCGTAAAACTAACAAAAATAAATATGAAAAATCAACTATTTCATTAATGAATAGTAGGAGTTAACTCTATAGAATATAAATAGTTTAAATAAAATTGACAATTTTTTCTTACCGTTTTTCTGATTTCTTCAATTTAGACAATGAAGATTGAAATAGTGAAGGACTAAATATGAAAGTTAAGAGAAAAAAAAAATGCAAGAATTTGTAAAAAAAGCATAAGGAAGTCAACCTATAAATTTTTTCACAATTTGATACATGATTACTAATTGTTAATTGGAATATTTTATTATGAATTATAAGATTCCTCATTTATAAGATAAAATATTAACACCGTTGGATGCCGGCGAGTTCAGTGGTTTAGTAGTTAAGCGCTCGCGTGCGAGACCGATAGGCCATGGGTTCGAATCTCTTGAGGAGGCGGAATCGTGGATGCGCACTGCTGAGGAGTTCCATACTAGAACGAAACAGCCGTCTAGTGCTTCAAGGTTTATCATGGTGGTCTAGCTTCAATTAAATCATGATTTCAACAATTTAAATTACTAAAATCTCTAAAAAACCCCCTTCTGATTATTTGCTAATGACAATCAACATTAACTACTCTACATTATTGTCAAAGTGTAAGATATTTACAAATCATAGTTAACAAGATTGATTGATCTGACTTAAACAAATCATTGAATAGCCGATTCATTTTAATGTAAGGCTTTTCAGTAGTTCGCATCTACGATTCCATCAGGAATCAAACTCAAGACATTGAGATCTTGTAAACAAAACAGCTCTCCGGTGATTTTGATTTTAATTGGTTGCTTAATTAGGGTCAGTTAGTGATATGAACTATGGACCTGAACAATCTTTATAAAATCTCTCCAGTAATGGGTTGTAGATAAGGCAGATCTTAGCTTCATGTGTAATCCTTATGCTAAAATACACTGGTCGGATGAGATAAATCTAGATTACTCATTACAGTATCCTGTTTGGTATTTTCAAGAAAATATTTTTCAAAATGCTTGTAGAAAAATTATTATTATCACTAAAGATCCTCGTGTCTATAGATGGTCTTTTTAAATGAACAACCATGAGTGGAAATAATGAATCATTTTTCCTTAAAAATTTGCTTTGAAAGAAAACTTTATAGATTATAAGATGAGATGTTTATCAGTGTTATACAACAGTTTCAATACCTTCCATCCAATTCTAAATCTTCTTCATCCTGTAGTGCAGCTTCCAATGCAGCCACCACTTGTGGAGCCAATTGTGGTGGTTCATAATCCCTTGTAGTACGTCCAGGTAAGTCCATATCCAAAGTTAATATCTGTTTGTTTCGGAATCTAGGGTTTGGATCATAGTTGGCAGCCATACGTGCATAACGACAAACAGATTGTTTACTTTTCAAAGTACAACAAAAAGACTGATTAACATTATACCTTTGACATAATCAAAGTGTAAATAGCATGACTGCACATAGCGAAGCACAGTGCAGTAAATAAATAATAATTTGTATGGGTTGCATTCATTCTAAATAATAGTTATATTGTCTTGTCACAGTGAATTATCAAGAAGATACATTGCTGACACGAGATTTGCAATGAAAAGAAAGATCTGCAAGATTACTATCAAATACTTGCGCAAATATTATATTCTAAATGAATAGTTCCAATCGTTTAATTGAGACAGTATATTGTTATCAGTAAATATGGTTTCATTTTCAAGCACGAAGCCATCATTTACCGTACAACTTCACTGTGTTATTATCACCTCAGAATTACGTGAGAAAACATTTAATTTTATGTTTATTTAAAATTTACATACTGCTTGCCATAGGAAGGCCAAGTAAAATAAATATTTCTTAGATAGGGTCTGTAAGCTCAGAAATGGAAAGCACTACAAGGTCCTAGAAAGATGATTATAATTTTTACTGATTCGGATTATTTTCCAACGAAGCTAAGGAATCTGCATCAGACTGGATCTACTTGAATTCCTAATAGCAATTAGAGATGAACTGGATACAAGTAACTCGGCAGGAGAAACGGAAACTATTTGAAGAAAGAACTCCGATAAATAATGATCAGTCATTCACACCTATCTTTTACAATAATACAATTCATAGACAACTATAATGTACTCATCTTCTATCGATCATATCACCTTTACACCTCTATCTTCATTCGATTCGTACCCATTCCTTTTATGTAATACACTATACTACTTAAATAATCATCAGTAACTCATGTTTATTTAACATTTGATCATCATCCCAAGGTCTCAGATACGTAGTTGAAACGAATTCTTATTTCCATAGACAAATTATTATAATGTTTTAACTCGCTTATGCCTAAGACAGCATTCACTACTCTTTTTCACGTAACCTTTATCATACATTCCACCACTTAACACCTTATTTGTTTTGAGACAGCTTGTCTACCGTAAAAGTATAGCTCCCAATTCTAAGTATTAATCTTTAGGAAGCGTTTGGCACGACATTTTGCTATACTGTGGGTTCTTGAAAGCGTTAAGAGTTTCCCATCTACTTCGTTTTGTGTACGTATTTTCTAAATGAATATAAATTGACGGCCTAACAAATCCTCAGATAACTCACAATTAGAGGTATGTTAATTCATATTGTTTACATTATTTTACTTCATAGTACGATAATCCGAAATAATCGAGTCTTTTGATTTCAAGATTTCACACGGTAGTCTATCGTTGTGCCACGATTCGTGTAATTTTCTAACCTTCTCAGTAATATCCCATAAAAGTTATCAACGGAGCACAACTTTAATAAAACAATTTACAAAAAAGTAATTCCGCTGATGTACGAGTTATATAGAGACGACAAATCAAGCTTAAAAATCTCGGACTTCAAAAGATCCTAATTTGAGGTCACAGTTTTACTATCTTATTGGGTAATCTATGAGACCCACCGAGATCGTACCACTTAATCTGAGGTAATATCAAGAAAAGAGGACAATCAAGCTGAAAAACAATTTAGTATTATTCACAATAGGGGCCATCATTTTCATTGATAATTGTTGATGATTATAATTTATAGTAGTTTACAAAGTTAATGTCTGAAGCGAACCGTGACCTACTTGTTCGTTCTGTTAATAACTAAAACAAACTAACTACTTTAATAAAACATTTTCTGTCCAACTTACAAATGTGAGTTGGATGCAAAAATTATGTTGTGTGACCGGTGAAAGTAAGGTATGAATGACCAGTAGGCGAAGACAGATGTATAAGGCACTATATGTTATAATAAACTCCTTCCCATTATTGATTTCACTGTGCTGTACTCTGTACTGCGTTAATAAACAGTTATTCTGTGTCCATAATCTCATTCTCAGTTATCTATCTGTGTACAGCTGGATCTAGTCTAGTGGTTTGATAATCTCCTATCTAATATTGTGGTCTCGTTTTCTCAGCAGTATTATCCAGTCTAGTGTTAATGCATAAACTGTATTGTGTTATCTACAGTGTTTTGTACCAGAGGGTAAATCTTTCATTACCGATAGAGAAAAATCGAACGAAGTGAGTTATTTTCATAAAATTTTACTAGATCATTATTAACATTACAGCATCACGTTTCGACCTTCGAATCTATGTATAACAAGAACCTTAGAGGTAGTATTACCCAATCCGACTGACTGAAATAAGATGTAGTGGTAGTTAAACTTGAGTGAGTAAACAATAAGACGTTTTCAATGATCATAAATCGTTAAATATAATAGGTAGCTATAGATAGAATTTTTTAAAAACATCCATATGTATGGGCACAGAGTGATACTCTACCTTGTAATCTGACCGAATCGCGAAACAGATTAAAAATGTACTAATACATCAAAATGAAGATGTAAAAGTTAACGATCTACTCAAACTTCGAATTTCGGAACTTCTGTGATCAAAGCTTATTGGTTTGGCTCAATAATATTTATATCGAAAAACTTATTGACCATCTCACGAAGCACGCTATTACAAAGTTGATAAATCAATTGCCGTGTGACTAGAAAGCATAGAATGGACTAGAAATAGTTCTGAGACTAATGCGTCTGTAAATCTTCAAAACAATGTAATTAAACTTAGGAGATAAATAAAAAGTCTGTAAATGACTCTTACTGATTTTAAACAGTTTACCAAACACTGAAGAGTTATTTTTGGTTGACACGATACAAAATGGGGCAATATTTTTGCTTGTAACATCCAATAAAGTAATGCCACTGGTTAAAATCTAAATCTTGAAATATTTTCCTACAGTTCATATATAACAAGACATTTGATACAGCACTAAGTCTTTCATCTCAAATCTCATGATGTTGTCAGTTATTATTTAATAAAATCTAGAGCGTCCAATCTTTAATAATCTGTCTATTTTTAACTAAGTAAAATATTGAAAAAAATAAGCTTAAATTTCATGGTTGTGAGCTACAAATGTGTTGTTGTATGATAAAAGCACTAATGAATGATTTGCACGAGGTTATATGAAGCTATCAAATTATAAACTGTTATATCTGAGCGAAGATTAAATCACGAGTAACTCCTAAGACATATTAATTGACTAATATTATCTATATATTCTTATGGTATAACTATGCAATAATTAGATTATATACATTTATATTCCTCTTATTATAAGCTTTATTGTAGACCATAATTTATTGTTGTACGATTTACGGTTCTTAAGCTATGTTCAGTTTATTAACTACTGCCTTCCACATTCACAGTCACTTTTTGGCTTTATTGTGTACAAATGTTATTTCCTATTTTATGGTGCGTTGTGGTCTGTTTGATTGATATATGAACCCAGTATGTCTGAAATAAATGGTTCAATTCGATTCGCATATTGGAAGCTGGTATTGGTGTTCTGGACTCAAGTGGACGGGCTAGGCGGACATAGGACTAATATGGACGTTAGGCTTCCCATACCGGTCGAACGTCATTGGTTTGGCACAGTGGTAAGATTGTATAAGTCGTATTTTGATTGGTGGATAAATTACGTGATAAAAAGCCGGACATAAAGTCATATTATAAACCACTAATTTAAAGAAATGATTGCTTACCAGGATGGAATATTTAGGTTTGTACCATCATCACTAGACTGAAAAAGTGGTTTCAGTTGCCATCTTTCAGTTTCTTCATTAAAATAAATTCGTTTTTCTAATTTCTCTTTTTCTTCTATTGGTATGAAGTTTTCCAGAATTAACAACTGTAATTTAATTTCACGTGTTAGTTGATCTTGAATTTTTTCGTGCTCTTGACGTTCTACAGTATGTTCTTCTTGTATATCAGATGTCTTCTGTTTAATTTCCTAATGTATACAAATATCTTTCATTATTTATAAACTCAGATTATGATTTCATTGGATTAATAAATAAATAAATAAATTATTTTAGTCTAATATTTCTAGTTTACATCAGGTTAATTTTTTATCATGGTACATTAAGATTAAAACTAGTAAACCCAGTTTAAGATATCGTCGAACTGACTATCTGATAATGATTTGTCTAAACTGTTTGTTAGAAAACCAAGCTTAATAAAAGTAGTTGCTGAAGAATTTCATTCCACGAAGAAGCTACAGTTCAGTACTTTCTGGTTTTCTACTATATTTGAATTAGTATCGCCCGGTAATGAGTACTATGTAAGATTTTTAAAAAATTAATCTCTTCAAAATATTTAAAATATGCGTAAAACTACTATAGGAATAGTATATAAGCAAACTAAAAAAGTGACGAAGAAAATGAGTGCATAAGCTCATTCTATTTTAGTAAGTTAGGAGTCCAGATGGAAAAACTCGGTTTCATATTGTTATGGAGGTAAAAATACCAACTATAATGGCTTTTTTATCAAAAAGAAAGTTTGAATTTTAAAATCTACCATTTATTAAATATTTGATAAGACATCCTCAGTTTGTTTACACAGCCACTAAAGCCTACAAAATAATTATCCTCAGTGTCGTCTTGTTTACCTGAAAAAGTGATAAAAGGCTTGATATATAGATTTGCCGAACTTTTATTTAGATACAGTACCTCTATAGGAAAAAAAGAAAGTTGATCAGGTAGTTGGTTAGATAGCATAAAAGAGTATACACTGGTAATAATAAATAAAGTTAACCTAAAATGTGTCTTAAGAGAATCACAGTTAACGTATTAAGAAGAATATGATGAGTAGAGTACCAAGTTACTTTTAGTTACGGCAGAGTTATTTGTGAACTCTCAATATGAAGAGGGTACTTACTATGGAAGATTCAAAAATCGCTAACAGTGATATTGAAGTATAGCATTGTAAAAGCAAAGTTAATATTGATAGAGTTTGCTGTGAATGCAAATATACCAATAAAGACTGATAAATTTTATTACTTAATATTAACATTGAGAAAATACAAACCCTTACGAATAAACTCATATCTGTCAAATGAATTATTGGTTTTGTGGACTCAGAAGATTAGTTGTTAATAAGCTTTAAGTTCGAGTCTCAGTACTACTGTCAACATTATAATGCAGGTACATCCGATTGATAAGTCTGAAACAAGACGAAATGCACTTTCTAGCTTCCACTCTTGGCCATATACACTAAGAATATGATTAAATATTCGTTGATTTTATGTACTTATAGATAATTTTTACTAGGTATTTGTTATTTTTGAATGTTGCCTATTTCTTATATCCACCAACTCGTTTCACTATCCTAGTTTTATTTCACACTTGTTAATACTTAGATATGTACTTATTGATTGTGACACTCATGTCTATATTGTAATTTACTAGATTTTTCAGTGTATAAGTGGAACTTCAATATATCTATGGTTTATCTGTAAAACAAATCAATTATTAATGAATAATTCTCTTTGTTTTTATTTGCTCAGAGATAACTATTTAGTATTCTATATTATTCCTAAAAAATATTTGGTTTTCTCCAAAACTTTAAACATAGAAAACCAAAATAGAACATACTTGTAATTTTTCAAATAATTTTTTTAACTTTCTAGTGTTTACTTCTACTTCTTGTTTTAATGATGTGAAACCTTCTTGTAAATTAGCCATACTCCCTTCTTCTTCTTCCATACGAGCTACTATTTCACGCTCACGACGCTTTTGCTCAGCCATTTGCGTCCGTTGTTGAGCTAAAGTTACTTCTTGCATGCGAGTGTGTTCAACGATTGATTGATCACCTCGAAGTAATTTACTCTCCATGGCTCTTAATTTGGACTCTAACTGTTGCGTTTTTGTTTGTTCTTCCTGAAGTTTTATTTCTTTTATCTACAGTAAATAACATTCGTCAAGGTTAAATAAGGTGTAAATTAGAATGATAAGTTTACTGAATTTCATAGAATTTTAAATTCTGATATAAATCTCGATAACCCGTCGTAGATTAGCATTAGAAATCGGGTTGATTTAACATTACTGAAAATATACAAAATTTATCCCACATTTCAAGATTATCACTAACAATTAAGCTATGATGAGTAGGGCTATGTTCAAGTAATTAAAAACAATATTCTTGTTTTGTATTGTTTTAATATTTTTTTTTAATGTAAATCAAGGTGACACTTACCATAAAAGCAGTGTCATTCTGTCAATCAAATAGAAACATATCATTTACAAGTAACTTGATTCAAAATAGAATTTTCGAAGTTCCCATATTATGGGCATTTGAAATTAACCAAGTTTTTAATGACCGAGTCTTTACATAACAATTAAAGTCAAAGATAAGGCGAACCATATGTAGTTTACACTTGAATTTTACCCGTTATCCTTTTTTAACTATAGGCAGTTTGGTTAAGCGGTTTAATAATAACATTATACATTTGTGTATACGAATAGTTAATGTAATTTAGAAATAATATCAAATGTTGAAATCACTTTTTTTAAATGTCAGATTTACCAAACACACATGTATATCAGATACTTCTGATATTTTATTTTGTTTTAAAATCAACTCAGACATTGAGGCGGATGTATAAAAAACCAATATATTAATTTTATTTATGAGATGAAAATGCATTTTTGTACTAAAATACATTTTGTCAACCTATTTTGACTATTATCAGAAGGGGTTTTGTGGAGATTTTAGCTATTTCAATTGTCAACATCATGAGTCAACTGAAGCTAGACCACCATGAAAAACCTGGAAGCACTGGATGACCATTTCGTCCCAGTATGGGACTCCTCAACAGTGCGCATCCACCATCCCGCCCCCTGCGAGATTCGAACCTAGTACCTATCCGTGCTGTCAGTGTTTCCAGGTTTTCCATAGTGGGCTAGCTTCAATTGACTCATGATTTCAACTAGTTGGCCTATGCTGTTTTACGGCTTTACATAACAATAAGAAAACACTATTACTAATTGTTCATCAGTTATTCTATCCTTTGGAATTCGTTTACCTGAAAATTGTGTCATTATCTTATTTAACCTTGGAAATTATGGTTTACTCATACTTCAAATAACTAGTTACTAATCAATAAACAACTGCAGGCATTACCCATTCTCTTTCTTTACTAAAAACCTAATAAGTGCGCATCTCTCTTTTCTTTTACATATGGAAGAAAAAATTATATCTAATCATCTTAGTATGAATTTACCTATGTATTTATCCATTTGAACACAATTTTACTATATGTGAAGAAACTAGCAGAATTTTCAAGATATAGACATTATTAAATGATGGAAATAGTTTAAGCTATCTAATGTAGTATTTATAAAATCAATGGAAGACTCTAAGTCCCAATAAAAATTCACGGACTTTATATAAAAACTAGAGTTTTTCAATGTAAAATTTAAGCCCTCAAACTATGGATAGAAATTGCACACTCTCACTTAATATATTCAAGTTTTTAATCCGTTCAGAGCAATTGAGCTTAACTAGAGAAAGCAGTTTACTAAGTGCACTACACGATTTGAGTAAAGAAGTGACCTTTTAACTGGAAGTTCATATCATTTTATAGACAAATAGCTCTTGTCTATAGATAACCCGTTATTTGTCCACTATCTAATTATCTTTTTTTTACATAAAACACTAAGATTTGAGCCAATTTTTGTACTAAAGTTTAGACGTTGTATGATAGGATGATAGAACGTTGCCAAGGAATTGATGTTATTCAACGCAAGAGATAAGCAAGATGCAGCACAGAAGATGAGAACCAGTTTTACATCAAGAATAGATCAACAGAGTTTCTCACTATGATTTTTATACATGTTTTACATATTATTTTAATTTTCACAGTGTAGCTTAGTCTACCTACAACTGATCAATAGCTTAATGTAGAAAATGACTTACTAATGTCATAAGAACAGGAATATCACAATCACTATAAGTACCTGACCTACAGAAGTGAATCCCTGATTTCATCACTAAAATATGATGTATTGATTTACTTAGTAAATATTTCCTCACAAACAGTGAACTGTTCCACTGATTTCTTGGTTAAATTTTCAATCCAGCATGTCATATTCAGAAGAACAATAACAGCTACACAAATGGACCATCGAAATCAGATATCTCAACACCTTCAATGTCACGTTCAATCTTTGAAGTGTAGCAACATAAAATGGTCGAGTTACAAATGTGTTATAATTTTGTTTCATACATGAAAAACATTCTCAAAAATGGTAAGTTTTACCTTGAGGTCATTCAACATACGAGATTTTTCTTCTGCAACAAGTGAATTGTCGTTTAAGACTTCATTCTTTTCAGCCAATAGTTTTGCTTGTTGTTCCTTCATATAGTTTTCTATGCTTGTTGCATCATCTTCTCTATCGCTGTTAGCTTCAGAGCCTAATATATAGAATAAAACACCGTCTATAATTACATGGTTTTTAACCTGATGTAATACGGTTTTAAACGGCCTTTTTAAACTTTCTTAGACTTTCAAATATTTTCATGACAAAACGTTAAGTAACAAAATGCGTACCGAAAAGAATTCGGCTAATGGAGGGATCTAGTATGCATATTTTGTTTTACTTTGAACTCTTCAAATGTATTACGGCGTTGATACATTAGTGTCAAGTCTCAATGTTAACATCAACAAAAGGATCCAGCCATATTCATCAGAGTCCTCAATAGGGAAAAAACCATCCCAGATTCCCCTACTATATATAATCAATCTACTGTAAAAAGTTTTGGCAGAATGGCTATATTGCCATGCACATATTCCAGTAAAGGTTGACAAAAGCTCAGTCCTGATTATCAACAAGAGAGTAATTCGAACACCTTTTTGATGGAAATAAGGCACTTTTGATGTTTTCAAACGCATTATTATCAAGAACGTCCTTGGAAGATGGATAGTTAATCATAATGACGACAACCTGATACCTATCAGTGCTAAAATAACCTTTCGTGACGAAGCGAATGGTCATGAACATAGGCAAGTTGATCCATGTCTCATAAACTAAAGGCCAATATGATAATTAAACCTAGTTAATGACTGAAACAACAACCAATTCAACTAGTTTCAGCTTCTTATGATTTGTTTTGTTTCTCAGCAGTCTCCCAAAAGGAATTGCTACTCCAGCATATGAAATTGGGTTAGCACCTGAATTGAATATAACTTTTAAAGCAACAAATAATTATACGTACCATCCGACAATATATGTTTTTGTTGAGATCTCTGCTTCCCGTTCTTTTTTTGAGATTGTTTTGGAATGGCAGCGACACAGTTTCTCAGTAGTGATTTAAGCCTATTGATTTCTTCTTGGTATTCTCTCAGCAAGGCATCTTTCGGATCTTCATTTATTTTTGGTTTGTTCCTAATATTTTTAGCACGGTTAGCGTATCTTAGTGTATTTATGGTCTCTTCATAGTTGTAGGTCGCCGGTCCAATATTTGCAATCATGATAGTTTTTGAATTACCCCCCAAAGAATCTGCGATGTAAGAAGTAATATTGGTAAGATGAAATCATAACGTATATGCAACATAATTTCAGTATCTAACATGAGATATTTTATGCCACTTGTTATCTTAGATACAAAGCATCGCAGAATTTAATGAAATTTTTGGATTTTCGGTTTATACGTTGATTACTGTCCCAACTGTTTTCCCATGTTATTCATAACAAAAGTGTACGTATAAATATTTTCATCATTTGGTTTTATCTATTTATATGACTAACTTCATGGATATAACTAGGTTATATTTATGTAAAATAATTTATTTACGCTTTGTAATATGCATATCTATATAGTAGCATTCTGAGCAGGCATGTAAATCAAGTACTCTTCAAAAAAATGTGAGAAAGTAACCTGCCTTTACTAATATGCTAAGATTTAGACTTCTGAGTGGTTATTAACAGATTTACAGAAAGAAGTATTTTTAGGAATCAATTTTCTTGGTTTTATTTAATATACAGAGACACAGGAAGTACTTTGTGTTTGTACTCCACTTTATATGACATTTCGTGGTGTGGAATAATATACAACTCCCAAGACCAGAAAAATCAGCTTGAAAGAGTAGAAAAGTTAAGTTAAAACTGATTTATTTATCGTCAAATTAGATGTCTAAAAACAATCCACATTAAGCGTCGAATTCCCTGAGAAGTCCTACCGAAAATTATCTCTTAATTAAGCCCGAATGTCTGCTGTATAAAATATGCGGCAATCAGTATTTTATGGCATGATATTAAAATAGTGCTCTGTTTAAACATATTTTTCTCGTGGTAGCACAGGAGAAATAACAAAACTGGTAATAGGCAGTATTTTGTCTTAATTAACTTGCATATGCTCGCTTAGTTTAAGATGAGCAGTCCAGCCTATAATAAGTGGTTTCATCGGAATGACAATTTGATTTTGACCACATTTTGTATTTTAATGGGGTATGTATTTCAAACCTCTTGAAGTCAACTACAATACTTAAGAGTTTCAGTGTATGCATGTAGTGGGGTGAAATACTCAGACTAAAAAAGCTACCAATTCATAGTAAGTTGACACTTGTAGTATAACCTTCTCTGCAAAAACATTTTTTATGTACTTATACATTTATCAAAGTCAGAACAAACATTTGATAACTTTGTCAGAAGTTAAGGCTTAGTGCTAGTTATGTATGCGACTGTATCGAAGAACTTGGACAGATAGGATTCGTAACTAACAAAATGCATAAACAGTTCATTATTCACAATAAACTGATAACAAGTAAATTATCACCTTGTAGTAAACGAGTGAGTTTTGAGTCCCGATAGGGTATGTGTGTACTTTTGCCATCCACCAGTGCAGATATCACGTTTCCCAAGGTGGAAAGACTTAAATTGATTTTAGTGGCTTCTTTCAAGCGTTCTCCCTAAAGTATAAATCGGAGATAACTTTTAAAATAAACATAAAACTGAAATAACCAAAGCACTCGATTTAATGAACAGAATTTTTATACTGACACCAAAAAGTCCGTTTAACTACACTTGTTCATACGCCAAAGATGTTAATTCACCAGTTGTAACAATGAAAACATACTAAGCTGATACCAAACAATATTAGACCATTTTGTACTAAAAACAAATTTTTGATGGATAAAAGCTTTACTGTCCTGTTATCTATAGTTCCCAAATACAAACTATTGGAAAAAGAGGGTGAACAGACGGAAACATGAATTAAATGTTTATTGAGCAATTTGTTCGAAAATACCTCTGATAGTGTTTTGGACTGGCGTTCACTACCTGCCAAATCAACGAGGTTTAACTTGCCAACTCGTATATGTTTTTCTCCATCTGCCCCAGTCTATAACTATTTTAAAAAATGGCTAACCATACCTTGCAACTCTCAACAGTTACAATAAAAATAGCATGGGATCGCGAACTGTGTTCATTCATATTAGTGGCTCTAAAATGCTATGTAGTCTGAAATATAACTAATTACTTACCCAACTGCACGATTTTGATATCCAATCTTCATAACCTTCTGGATTTCATCTATACTTTTGGTAAGAACAGAGGACAAGTCCTGATCATAAGAAATAAAATGAGTTAAGATCAAATGAAATCACTTTACAAAAAAGCCAGAACATTACATTCTCAATGAGAAATTGTGATCAGCAAGTTACTCAATATATCTGAAAGATCGATTAACCATATTACTAGTTATCACAGAAATTTGAAGTAAATTATGCAACTGTGGAACAAGAAATAGACTGTGGGACTGGTAAGTTACTACAAGCCTACAATGATGTTGTAAAATGCCACTTGTAAAACTAATTCCAATTTCTATCGACATAATTAGCTCATCGTCTATAAAAGGTTGAGTCAAACACTTGGATTAAGCTGGAAGACAACACAGCTTTCGTGGGACTAGTTTTATTTAACCACACCGTCCTTGCCACTACCAACCGTAATTTTGACAATCACTCTTATCTGCATAAAGACATAACATAAAGTAGGCACCTGTAGAATCTGGACGTAAGAAACATGTAAAACGTGATGAAGTAAACCTACTAAATTATTATAAACATATAATGAACGTAATGAGAGTTGAATTCGAATGCAATGAAAATTCACCAGTAATTTGTATTATCAGTTTCTTTCACTCATGACAAAAGGAATGGTCCAAAAAGCAATAATTTGCGCGAATTACAACAAAACTGTTGACCTTTGCCCACTCATCAGATGATTCAACCAACCATAATAAATTCGTATGCTGAATACTAGTAAGTTTTGGTTTGTAACGACAAGTAATTGACATGACTAATAAGGTTCTCTTTCAAAATGAAACTGAAACAGACTATGAAATTTATTTGTGTGGGTCTAACCGATCGGTTTAAACTGTTTTAGTCTTTCGATATCAGGAGCATTAATCACCTGCTAACGTAAAGAGTTCACGCTAGTAGTTACATTTTGGTACAAGCTGTTAAAGACACAAAGAAATATTACTTTATTTTTTATCAGTACACTATATTATTACAAGCCTCCTATATTCTAAAATAATCTGATCATTTTGGCAGAAATCCTTTGAGAGCGGCATCCTCTAAAATTTAAAGAACGTTAACGAGAGGCTTATAGTCGAACAACTAGATGAATAGAGTTGCTTGCTCAAATGTGCTTACCTTTACAAATATTCCACTGTCTGGTTTTTCTCTGATTTCTAAGTGCTTTGATTGGTCTCTGCGAAGCAGATCGCGAATCTCTTCTTTGTAAATTTCTAAGTAACTCGCTCGTACAAGATACTGAGCATCCATAGACTTCGATATATGGTCAAAGATATGAACGAATGAGTTTGGCATTACACCTCGTAATTCCGGGTCATCCTGAAGGCCTGTTAAATATTTGAGTCAGCTTGCAAGCCATACCCTGAATAGTGAAGGTTTTTCCCGTTCCGGTTTGTCCGTAAGCAAATATGGTCCCGTTGAAGCCATCTAGAACACTGTTAATTAGGTCCCGAAAAGTTTCATCGTATAAATCTCTTTGTTTCGAACTTTCTAAGATAAAGAGATATTGAAGACCTCTTACCTTTCATCGTAAACAGCGTCAAAACTGAATCTTTTTGGATCATCATTCAGTTTGGCAATTGGATTACGAACTTCGATAGTCCCATTCGAACAATCGACAAACACACACCTAAAGGTTTAAGAGTCCAAGGGTCCTAACTTTTTGTGACCATCCGAAGCCTCTTTTTCATTTAATGGTCTACATCTCACCACTACCTTCACTGATTCTGAAGCATCGAACTTAGTCTATTCAAGATGTTGATCAAATACGAATTTTGTTACTTGAGCCATCATATAACGCGGTGTATACGGTACCGTGGTAACAACCATTCGTGAGATTCGACACCTGAAGTGATAAATATAGAAAGGTTGGTAGGTCTTTAAGTCTTCTCTAAGAAGTTACAATTGAACCCTGCGAGTTTACTTGGAGTAGACATATCGCTACAATTGGTCTTGCTCAGATGAAATGCAAACATTAACATCGAAAATCCCGATTCAAACTCAGATTGCGAAGGGGAATGTACTGGACGCTATTTAATAATCCAGATGATTGATGTCTTTCAAATGACTCGGTTTTTTCACTGTGTTGACAGATGGTGCTCCAATCATTTGTTGGGGTTAGGAGTTTTACCGGTTGATGGCGCAATAGGAAAGTCATCAGTCAGCTAAGATGAACTTGGTTCCAGGGCTATGAATTTTTTGAGTCTAATTAAAAACTCGGTTTCTAGGAGAGGAAATATCATCCCATAATATAGTAGGCTAAAGACTGTGATTAAGTCATTTATAACCTTTCTACTTGGCAGTGGGCAAAAGGCAATGGAGAAGGTTAAGTATAGCTAGTCTTTCGTTATACAACAGTCGAGCACTTCTATAGAGTAATCTAGCTTTGTTCGTGAGAATACTGAGACCAAATTCATGAAGGTAATAACATCTGCGTAGTCAAAGACTCTATTTACTCACTGAAGTGTCATGAAGCGCAAAGCATCTGTTCCAAGTCAATGGACATTGGTTTTCAAGTCTTTGCTGACAGTGACTAATATATACATGATTGTCCAGTCAAGAAGCTGAAGCGACTATTTCTTTACAGAACTAGAATGTTTGAGTGAATTCCCACTTCATTTACAGAATTGTTTGCCTCTCGAATGATGGTGGCGATCGCGGACAATACAGAAGCAACAGAGAATGACTTACGTATATTTTCCAGTGAATAGCCCAATTTTAACATAGAACCAGCTTAAAGATGTTTCTAACATTCAGTACTTGACAACACTTTGTCATTAACACTTTTATGATCGGAAGGTACTGAAGTTGTCAAACCAGGAGTCAGGATAGCAGTAAATAACTTCTCAAAATAAACAGTTTCGTGTGTCTCTGGCGTCGATGCCGACCTCATCAGTTTTACTAGTCACACCCTAGCTGAAGTCACTCAGCCACACATCTGCACCACATCACGAGCGGGTATGTAGTGCTACGTGCAACTTCCAGTCAGTCTACATCAAACGCTTCTCGATATATCGACAGCCAAATATATCGTCGAACCCCTTCATTTCTCTCTTCTGATTTAACAGAGATGGTATACTTCTATTATAAAGGTGTTACGCGTAAAGGCATTGTCAAACTTTGGATGTTTGTAGCATCCGTATCAGGAATGAAGAACTTCGAAGATATAATTGGAAAGTTTTCGATATAATGAGAAGCGTTGGATGTGAGCTGGATAGTAGTTGGAAGAAATACGTGGCACAGAGTACCCAATCGTGGCCTGACGTGGATGTGCAATAGAAGGTAATAGAGAGACATGTTAAAGGCTACCCCCAGTTCAGTCCACCTTAGAGTGCTGAATAGGCGGCGAGCACGAAGTGGTTGGTTAGACTAAATACAGCATTAATTATCTGGTAAACATGCATTTGTAGCCAATAAATCATTTTTAAAACGCTCTTATTGGTGTATGAATTCAATTGATGTTTATTACTTATTTTCTGTAGCTAAATGTAACTTTTGAATTGTCTTGCTACTTCCTATCTATGACTGATGGAAGTACTATTGCATCAACGGGTTTCAGTACGACTTCTGCCGACATGGACTTCACTATGAGATAGCAATTGCTCAAATCAAAGTCCTCCAGTTAGCAGAGTCCGAATGCGACTCCAAAGTTTTTCAACGAGTAATCGAAACAGGAATATCACAAATACAGAGGACGTACACTAATTACGTTCGTTAGCTAAGTATAAGAAGTCGTTGTGAGCATTGAAAATATTTGTGTGTTGTTTTTGATGCGCGCTAGTACGTGTAGTAGTTATTGAGGAAATTCACACTACTAGTAAGTCTATTACTCAGGTATAGCGGAAGATAGCAATGAGAACCACGTGAATCTGCCAGTAGGAAGTTGAATCCTAGATCATTGAAGAAGTTCACGTTCAAAATGCAGTGCATTCGTCTGAATAGCAACAGAATATCCCACAAACTTAGAAATTGGTATACCACTAAAGACCTTAAAAAACTATCAGCTATATGACGAAGGTGCTAAAAGGGTAAATATAAATTCTGTTTTTCTGTAAAACACTATTTTGACAGGTTCAACGACAGTCATCGTCACGACATCTTTTTATAAATTACTCCTCCTCGAAACATTAGTTCACCAGTTATCCACATGCTGTGATATCAAGGTTACCAGTAGACAGTAAATACCAAAGTCACGATTTGTACAAGTCCTTTCTTTGCAACAATAATTTACGGTAACGACATTACATCTTGTGGCAAGCATTACTTATAATAAACTGTTCACTGAATGTCGATTGCTTGTCTTCATATTCAGAGCATCACAATACCAACTAAAACAACACTTTTTCATGGATTACCTATAGATTTGAAATGATTAGAATATGCGACCTTGATTTTGTCCCGAGCACATTTCAGTGCAAAAATGCATTTCTTGAATAAAATTCACACTGCGCATTTATGACCACAGTTGTATGTTTGACAATAAGAGCCATTACGTAACTGTGGTTATGAACTTAGGTTAAAGTGTGTCTCCATTACCAAGTTTCGTGCTGAAGAACATAACTTATGTATAAATTATGCATCTTCGGGTTTCCTTAAATCTGAAATCCGTTTAACTGAGTCCTATGCATCTGACTAAAGAAGCACGTCACTCATATACAACTCTATGTCAATTGATGAGCAGTTCGTGCACGTGAAAGCTTTTGGCAATAATGGAGGTTCACAGTGATGACGGACAATAAAAACACAATCCTCTTATCTAAGACTCCACGTCACCGTAGAGTTTCGTCATCACGATGTGTATTAGATCAACGGCGAAGTGGTGTTTCATATCTAAAAGTGGATGGTACTTTGGTTACTAGAAGTGATATAGGGTTACAGAATTATTTATGCATGACTTTGAAGCGTCACACAAGTGATCTTGAGAAATCCACCTATCTGTTAGGGTCAGAAGCAGCTCATAAATTCGCGTGAATTATTGCTAAAATGCTGTTTTATCATTTGAATAAATGAATTTTATGCCAGAATCCAAGGATTGTCATCTTCATTTTCGTTGGTTCGTCCATAAATTATAGTCTTGCCGTTGCTTTTCAATCAGTCATCTCTCTGATAATTCTGTCATTCCATCATTGAGCTCAGCAATTTTCGGCAGAAATGATTTTAGCAGTTGTTCCGATCATAATTCATAATGTTTTGCTGTGTAAATTAACTAATCATTTTTGGTGATCTTAACAAATACAATAATGATACGCAAAGACCACAAAAACATCAGACTTTGTTTGTAATGAGCGCCATTTGACAAGGGGTGTCCAGTAAACTTAATGGAATCAACATCAATGTCGATGAATTATAGGACTACTTATTTTGAAGAAACAGTGTCGTTAAATAGCTGGTCTAACTCCTGTTACTCCTCGTCAAGTAATATAGGCCGCTCACAAGTGTTTGCCACCAAGCTCTGTCCTGTACAATCGTTTCCAGTTCTTTCCCGTTGATATTCATTCGCTTATTGTCCACTTTATATTCCCGACGCGATGTGTTCCTCAGTCTTCCTCCTACCCTGTCCCCTTCAAAACTACAAGTTTCTGATAGAATCTAATGATTTCCTTAATGTATGTCCTATTATCCTCCAACGTCTTTTCCCGATTCCCTCTTCAAGTGGAAACTGGCTTTTCTCTTCTACAGTAGGCTGTTGCTGATGGTATCCGGTCGACGGACATTCAGTATCTTGTGTATATAATTATCTACAAATGCTTGTACCTTTTGGATGATGATTGTATTAGTTCTCCAAGATTCAGTTCCGTACAGTAGAACTGTTTTGACGTTCGTATTGAGTGATCTGACTTTGATGTTGGCTGACAGTTGTTTTTGAGTTCCATATGTTCTTCAATTGTAGGAATGTTGTCCTTGTTTTGTCAATTCTTTATTTTATGTCCTTATTGCATCCTCCTTATTCATCGTTGACGCTGTCCAGGTACGTGGAAGATTCCGCATCCTCCAGAGTTTTTCCACTAGGTGTGATAGAGTTGGTGTTCTCTTTGTTCTAGTTCAGAATCTTGGTTTTTCCCTTGCGTATGTTGAGTCCTACTGATGCAGAGTCTTCTGATACACTGGTTGTCTTCATCTAGATTCGTTGGTGTATATGGGATAAAAGAGCCAGGTCATCTGCAAAGTACAAATCGTATGAATTCCATATGATGCTAACCATCTTTTCAGGCACGCATTAGTGTCTAAGAAGGTTACATAAACTTCTCCTGTCCACACTGTCAAACGCCTTCTTATAGTCAATGAAGTTGATGTATAGTGACGAGTTGCGATGAGTTGAATGCTCAACAATGATCCATAGTGTCGCAATTTGATCCCTACACAACCGATCATTACAAAATCCAGCATGTTGATCCTGAAGTTAGGAGTCTACTGAATCCCTCATTCGGTTCAGCAACACTCCGTTGAAAACATTACCTGGTACTGATACTGGTGTACTGCCTATGAATTTTCCACGTTTGCTCAGATCTCCTTTCTCTGATATCTTGTAGAGATATCCTTCTTTCCGATTCGTCGTCACTTGTTCCTTCTCCCAAATCTTCATTAATGAAATGTGGAGCATGTTTGCAGTTACTTCTGTGTCTGACTTTAATACTTCGACTGCTGCTTTCTCGCCCTTGACTTGTCTGATGACCATGCTGATTTTTCCTATCGCCAGTGGAGCGAAATTTTTTAGAAGGTCTGCGTTTGCTGTTTAGATTTCCGGTGGAGTAAATGGAGGGGGTTTATTCAAGAGCTCCTCAAAATGTCCTACCTATCTATTCC